AGTGGCACCACCACCACCCGTGGCACACCACTACTACCTCGAGTAAGTGGCTCCCTACTACCACCTCGACCAAGAAGGAGCACCACCACCACCACTGGCACACCACCACCTCTTCGTCGACGAAGGACAAGTGGGGCAAGCCCCCTGGTCCTCCCCCCACTGGCAAGCCTATTGGCAAGCCTCCTGGTCCTCCCCCTCCCGGCAAGCCCCCTGGCCCTCCCCCCCCTGGCAGCCCCCCTCCGCAACTCTAAGCTTGACTAAGCTTGCACTCCCTGCGAGGAGATGAATCAGTCGTCGGCTGTCATCACCCTGGGAACACATGCGACAGGTTCAAGGTCACATCCATCTAGAGCCGTGCTTACAGGACATGGTGCCTTCTGCAGTTGTGGCGTCTACCAGGTTGAACAATTCCTGCCGGCCTCCAAATCCGCACACGTTGGAGCGCATTTCATAGTTCTTCCTCACTGTCCAAGAACAATACAAATCTCTCCTGCTCTTTCCCCACCCACTTTCTTTCAATCTTTACCTTCCAAACTTTCTTTTGTCTTCTAACCCACCGTTACTTTACTCGAAGCTGTAGTCACCCAGGCTCGCTTGCATTGAATTCGATATTAAATTTGAAGCCCAACGAATGTCTGCCTGCTTGTGTGCGATGCCTGATCGATAACTTGATTCTACCGTCAATTCGGAAGTGATGAAGCGGAACTATGTTCCCCTCCTCGTGCATAAGCTAAGATGAGTCAATGTGCGGATTCTGTAGCTAGACCTGAGAAGCTTCTTCGATTGGATCCTGACCTATCCCGTAGCAGACGACATTCTCGTGACCAGAAGCAGTGCGGAGCCCACGAATAGAAATTGACGAGCTCAGTACTGAAAGAGTGGACCGTCGTCGACTGATCACTCATGCGACGTGAGCGCGCACCTGTGCTGCGCTAATTTTCCTTGTGCCGTTCACGTTGCGTGGGTCGGGAAAAGGGTAGCAGCACTATACCACTCTCCTACGATCGATCTCACCGTGAGCTTTCATCCTTGGCAGTCCATCAATTCCCCGTAGGGCGAATATCCAATCGGTCTTGCCGATCTCTTGGGCCTGCCGAGGAGCCGGCGTGAGAAGAACACACTTGACATGCTATTTAACCTGCATCTCCCGGATGGACAAGTCACCGACAGGACCTCAATCTCTTGGCAAAGGGCTCGGCATGGCACTGTCAGTCAGCGGCGCAGGGTGATCCCTCACCTATCGTATCTGGCAGTCTGCTGGTGCAGTGCTTATTTCTCCTAGTGGCCGCTGCGAAGCAAAATGGTGGTGAGAGAATGCGGAAGGGGGGAGCGTCGTCGGCATGGACAGATGCGCGCGGGCAAGGCTCTGCGCTCGTGCCGGGCGTGAGGCACCACTCATTAGGACTCCGCCGTCTCGCCAGGGCCAAGGTGCTGCAGATACGGGGTGGGCATGTTGGTAGATACTCCACCGACACAGCACAGAGGCTTACCAGGCAACACTCCCTTGGGTCCTTTGTCCCCTTGGCGTACCATGAGAGTCGCCGAAGCTTGCTCATTCAGTCTCAGCACTCAGCATTCCTCATTGGGCACGTCACTTCGATGGCCGGGACAGACGGAGTAAAAGCGGTATATAGTAAAGGCCCCGATCCTCCTTGCCAATTCACGTCCGCCTTACCTCCCAACACCATAACATTCGTTTGCGCCAACCTCCGTACCTATTCTCTGCCGCTCCCGACCTGAAAGGTTTGACATCTTTCACGCCGTCTCCGATACACGCTTTCTCTTTCTTTACCAATCTCGTTCATTATGGTCCAGGTGACCTTTGCCGCCCTTTCCCTTGCCCTCTTGGCCGCCGTCTCATCGGTCCAGGCCCATCCTTACCTGACTGAGCGATCGGATGTTACCGACTGCGTCACTGCAATCACTGGTACTTTTGGATTTGGTAGTATCAGCTCTCAGGGCGTGGCCAGGGTGGCCAGGTCGAATGCCGCCCTGAGCTCCGCCAGGACACAGACATCGGCCGTTACAAATACCTTGGCTCGATACGTCGTGACGTTGGACGACACGTGAGTACATGGGATGCTCTTGAGTGCCACTGACTTGAACGTTACTGACGATCCTGATCTCGTCCCCTTTGGTCTCGTGCAGTGGCGCCGAAGTTGCGGCTTCGAGCTTCGAGTGGGCAAACTGCACAGCCGCTCTCAAGGATGCTGGATGGTCACTCGAGTTGCCCAGCAACTACAAGACCATCTTCGGCTCATCGACTGGCAAGACTTTTGAGTACGGTTGGGGAATCGTCAGGCCAGAGGGTGCCAGCACCTACTGTCTCTCGCTTCAGTCTGCTCCTACCTCCTCCTCCTTCACCAACCAGCGTCTCCTGAGCGTACCCTGCGCCAGCACCACTCATGCGACCAGGATCTTCTTTGCAGCTAGGGAGGTCAACAGCGACACCGCTACCACCTTCATGACGCCTGTACCCCTCCTCAAGAGTGGTACCACCGTGTCTGGTAGCGCCGTTGTAGGGACCGACTCGTTCGGAACGATCCGCGTCAGTTCTGCTGCCGTCACATCGCCCAGGTATCTGACCCTGACTCCCGAAGACGACGGCTGCTGAGGGTGGGCAACATCCCCCGACCGTACATAGACTGGAAGGATGGGTTTGAGGATGGGTTAGCACCCTTGGAGGCCGTCGGAAGGAGAAGGATGAATGATGTCCACCCCATTTGTACAAATCTCTGTCTGTTTGCTTGCCTTGTCCCCTGATGCCCTGCTGCTCTTGTCTGTCCCTCCTTTACGGAGTAGCAATTGCCATGCCATGCCAACCTTCTCCCCTTTTCTGTCTGACACTGTTGCAGCCTCGCGTCTCCGGCCCGGCGCGTTTTCAGATTTGGACCGGTTGTGCGGGACAAGCGAGATGCGCTTCCCCACACCAAGTCCCTACCGTACCGGACTGTCCTCCTCCCACTATTTATTCTCGTCAGCAAGTCACCACCTCACTGTACCACTCGGCAGCGCAGCAATGGTAGAATTCAATGCCTCCGACTATCCAATGGGGTTCAAGTCCAGGGTGGAGGGCGAGAAAGCAGGCGAGGTGCTCGTGGAACTATCTCTCGCCGGCGCGAGCCCCACCAGCGGCACACCTACAGGTTCCTCGACCTCCTCGGGCTCACAGCCAGCCGCTTCGTCTCCATACCCAACTCCTCCCTCACCGGCCTCTTCTTCTGGCTCTGCCTCGAGCAAGGGCAAGGAGCAGAGCGAGGCCGCGCCCATCTTCATCCTCACGCTCCTCTCGCGCCAGACGCCTGACAACCGGCTCACCCCTCAGCTGCTCACGGCAACTCTCGCAGCACTGGAGCACCTGAGCGATCTCTGGGAGTCCTCACTGCTGCCCGCCCAGCCATCGCCTCCCGCAGCACCCATTGGAGCGGCCCTGGTGATTACGGGCACCACCTCGGGCGCCACCAGCAAGTTCTTCTCCAATGGACTGGACTTCGAGAGCGCAATTACCACCATGGGCTTCTTCGACCTCTACCTCTTCCCCGTCTACGAGAAGCTCATGACATTCCCTATACCTGTGGTAGCCAGCATTGGAGGCCACTGTTTCGCGGCGGGGTGGGGTCTGATGGCTGCTTGTGACTATGCTGTCATGGGTGGGAAGGGTTTCATGTCTATGAACGAGGTGAGTGACCAAGAGCGGTGTATCGATGACTTTTCTGGATATATAGAAGGCACGCCAAAGGGCAGAGAAGAGCTGAAACTTCTTCCTACTACGCACTTCCTCGCCACCCTCGGTACAGATCGACTTTGGCGCTCAGATCCCTCCGGGACTCTTCGCTCCCCTCTCCAAGCGTATCGCCCCTTCACCCTCTCTGCGCAACCGCGTCGTCCTGCAAGGCGAGCGATTTCCAGGCGCCGAGGCGCTCAAGTGTGGGTTCATCGACGAGCACCTGCCCCAAGCTGGGCCGAAGGAGGTGCTGGATCGGGCTGTTGAGCTGGGTAGAAAGTGGGCCAGCAAGAGTGGAAGGGGAGTCTGGGGAGAGAATAAGGTGAGTGATAGCGTAGCGCTGAGCAACGATGGATCGGTGGCGCTGGAGCCGAGGCTGACCACTCAAGTCTTGGTCCCATTGCTGCTCGTAGCGCATCATGTACACCGCCCAGCTCGAGGTACTACGCACAAAGTACGAAGTTACACTCAGCAAGCTCTGAGCCGGGACTATAGTGGGGACTCACGCAGTCGTGCCCTAGCTTGTCGATGCAACCTGTCGCTTCCACAGTGCTCAATTCTCTTCTCTGTATACCTGATGCCATATCTGACTTTATCCGTGCCCGAACGACGTTAAGCATGCTCCCCTCATCACCAACGCTCCTCCACATCCGCAATCTCCAATCGCGCCCTTTCCGCTCGCCCGTTCATCCATATCCTACCATTCCCTGTGCATACACACTAATGAAGGCTCACCGTTGTCTGTCATGCACTCAACTTAGGTCCACATAGCATCCACCGAGCCGCAACCCACATCACCACCTCGCACGTGCCTAGGGATTGGCCTTGCAGGTTCGTGTGGGTGGTACAACCATGTCCCGCCCCGGCGCTCCTGGCTCTAAAGACCCAGGTACGTCCGATGTCCCTTCCTCTGCCTCTATACCCCCAACATGGGAAGCTCTGCAGGCCAGTAGGCCCGTGAAGATGCGCTTCCGGCTTCTGCCGTCGGTACACACTCTGCCGCCAGCTGCTGCTGCTGCTGCGTTGCGGAGGAGGAGACGCGAAGGAACTGGGCCTGTGGGGACTGAAGGTGTTGATGCAAGGATCGAGCTAACGGCTGCTTTCGAGCTACAGCTGCCTGGCTCTGGCCAAGTCGACGAGGACAATGCCTCGTCTGTCCTCTCTTCCTCCTCCTCTCCGCTGACAATCTCCTCGTCTAGCACTCTGCGGATCCTCCGCCTACTCTCCCCGACTCTCACACGAGACGTCCTCTCCTCCTCAACGGGCTCGCAGCCTCTGATCAATCTCGATGCCCTCCTCCTTGCTCTCGGCATCTCTCCACTGCACGGCCTACTTCGCCTGAGGCTCAGTCGATTCAAAGGAGACTTTGAGCTCGACCTGCCTCGCTCTGGCGCTGCGAGTGGTGCTGGGGAGGAGTGGAAGCGGGGGATTTGGGTCTCGCTTCGCACTGCGAGGAGGGCGGTGAAGGAGCTGTCCGGTGCGGGGAACGCAGGCGATAGACTAGGGGAGGAAGGCCTGCGCTTCTTCGGAGCCTTCCTGGCGTGGGGCAGCAGAGAGGCTTGGAGTCTAGACGAAGGAGAGGAGGAGGGGAGAATGTCTCATAAGTAAGCCTTCTTGCTGAGAGCTCCTCATAAAAACACTCGGGATAAGCACTGATACCGCTAGAACATCGTACGTACCCCTCTGCTACTCTTCAGCTGGATCCCTTCTCCCACCCCGCTGCAGCCCTCCTCGAGCCTATCCACCTCCTCTCTCCTCAGAGCTAGCATCTCCTCCCTCACGCTTCTCCCTCGCTCTAATCCCACCGTGGCGACCTTTTTGTCGCAGTCCCAGCGCCAAGAGCTGCTGCAAGAGCACGATGAGCGTGATAGGTCCAGAGAAGGGCACGTGGAAAGAGCGCGGACTCGGTTAAGGCGTTGGACGGTAGACCTGCTCGAAGCCATCGAGGTGTGGAGGGAGGACTGGCCTGAAGAGGACCGAGAAGAGTCTTCGAGAAATGAGCAAAAGCAGACGACTGCAATTGCGAAGACGGACACCTCGCGACGACTGCTTGGCGCTGTGCCTGCGGAGGCGAAGGACTGGCGAGAGGCTTCGCTTTCGCAATTGCTGCCGATCCTCTCCAGCCTCGAAGAGGAAGTCGGGGGAAGCTACAGCGGCGGCAGTGCATCGTCCGCTGCCGTTCCTCAGGCCTCGGCGGAGCCCTCGTATCTACAGCCATACCTGCCCAGCAACCTTCCAGAAGAGCTCAAGGTGCAGCTCCAACTAGTCGAGCATCTCTGGACCGTCTCTGAACGACTGCACAGCTACTCTGCAAGCCATCCGGACCATACTCCGCCCACCCAGCTCAATCAGTCCGTTTCCTCAGAGGTGGAGGCGAAACATGTCTCAACTACCTCCGCAGGGCTCCGTCCTGCTTCACCTACATCGTCCTCCACGGCAGTCAGTCCTGCTTTCGATCAATCGCCTGCATCTGCTGACAAAACGCAGCTTCAGACCCGGCCTAGAACCTCGCTAAGCTTGGATGGAGATCACTCGGTCGTGACAGGTGGGCCTGTGACCCGCCCTACCGACCATCAAGTCGTCTCTTCTGGCGTACCCCAAGCTATGCGCGACGGGTCCCTGATGGCAGTCAAGATCGGCCTGCTGGGCAACTGGATCAGGTTCACGTTTACTATTGGTCCGGATCCCGAAAAGCGTGACAAGGATAGCAGCGTAAAAGCAGGAGGGACGGCAGGAGCGCAAGGGAGGAAAAGGGAGACTACGAAGAGGACGCCGGGGTATAATGGTCGAGGGGCTGAATGGAGCTCAAATAGTGCACTGAGCTGGGCACTGGGCGCTTGTCTTGTTGCGGTCATTGCCGTGGTGGTGGGATTGATCACACCGGCTATGGGCTCGTCTGCGAAGTCACGGCCTATTGTAGCATAAGACGAAATTCTCTTTCCCTTGGTCTTTCTAGACTCGTAGCTGTAGCCACAGTGATGGCATTGCGTTCTCCGTGACCGACGCCCGCTGACTCACCTACATACGCCCAGCCCCTCCCTCGCCCGTCGCACGTCCCTCCTCCCCAGCACCACTAGCAGCAGTAGCAGCTACCTGCTTCGCCTCTGCTTCGAATCGCTGCGCTAGTACATTAGCCCTCTCAGCATGAGCCTGCATCAACTTGCTATGTGTCTCCATCTCCTTTGCATGCACTTCGGCCTGTTTAGCATGGACTTCTGCTTGCTTGCTGTGAACCTCCATCTCCTTTGCGTGGTACTCCATGCGTCGAGCGTGAGCCTCCGACTCGCGGGCATGGTGCTGTAGCTGTTGAAAGTCTGCTGCCAGTCCGCTTTCACTGGAGTCGAGACTGATTGAGGAAGAAGGAGCGGAGGGAGGAGGTAACGAGGTGGTACCTTGGCTCGATGCGGAGCTGGTAGGAGCGGTGACCAAGCCGTGTATGTTCGAGAGGAGATCCTGGCTGGATCCCGTCTGTGACGAGCTTGAACCATCGGCCGCAGTAATCGCTGGTACCGAGGCAGTACTGCTCTGCTCGCCTCCGTGCAGGACGTTGTTCATGATGGTGTTCTGGTGAATGGCTGAAGGGTAGGACTGGCAAAGTGGAGTAGAGGTAGCCTAGATGCCCCGCCTGCGAAAGCTAAATGAGCGTGTCGGAAACGCGGGCGCGCCACGTGAGGCTCAGAGGCTGCAGTCCTCCACCTCGAGTCTAGGGCTGAAACTGTGCAGCTGTGCATACATACCATTGGAAGCTAGCACGAGCGCCTTTTCCCGATCTTACTTCGGGCTTGGACTTCTGAGATCAGAACATCTCTGTACGTACAGAACAGCGTCCTTCATGGTTCGTCAAAAGAGCCTTCACGTCACGTAGCGATCGCAGTGTTCGTAGCGCAGCCGGATCCCCGCATCAGCTTTCCGCCCTCTGAGCTCTTCCGAGACCATTCTCCTACCTTTGCATACCTCCCGACAGTTTAGGAAAGTCGCGGAGATCGAGGTAGTCAATGATTGCCGCGAAGAGCTGAGGAGGCAGGCCCAGACTGAGCATCCTGCCTGGGTCTAGGTGTGGATACATTGATAAAGACGGGTAGACAAGGGCAGATAGCGCACCATGGCTGTCAGGGGAGGAAGGAAGCATTGCTCCGACGCGCCGCGCCTTCCGTGCCGGTGCGACTGTCGTTCGCGGAGGGCAGGCACTCCGGCGACTTTGCTTCCGCTGCATCTTTGTACTCAGCCAAGTCGTCCTGAGCCGGTACTTGTATGAGGAAGAGCATGGCAACAAGCTGGTGCCTCGCTCCATGGACTCGGTATCGGTAGCGATCGAGGGAAGACGCTGCCCGTCGGTGACTGTGAGATGTCACTCTTATATTGACTGGTCGCAGGATCATTGGCAGTACCCCAGGTAGCGCTCGCAAGCTTGATCTTACGCCGAGCATGTGAGCGGGCTTGCGTGAGAGCAAAGGGCGCTGCGCGCTTCTGCACTCCATTCAATTTCACCTTCGATGTCCCTGCATGCTGCTTTCCCTGCTTCTCCACTTCCCACTCCTTATTGAAGACCATGTCCATACAGAATCTCCCCTTCGAGCTGCTGGTGGCCATATTCCTGAACCTGGATCCCTTCTCCGCTGTCAGATGTCGAGCAGTCTGCAGAGGTAAGTGATGTCATACTGTCGGAGGCTTTGCTCCATTCGAAGCACCGTTGGCTGAGAGGAGTGCTGTCTTCCCTTGATTCAGACTGGAAATATCTGAGCAAGTCGAGGAGGTTTATCAAGACATTTTGCCACAGACTTGGCTTCCTCAAGGCGGGGCAGACCCTGACCGAACTTCGCAATCCCAGGGGTCAGCTACGCAGCTCATATCTCACCTGGTCGCACACCTATGGTGAAGGTCAGCTGAAAGGGCTTCGAAGCGAAGATCTCATGACGTACGAATCCTTCCTTAGGACCAGCGTACAGCTGGGAAACGCCTGGCCTACTCAGAGATTCCCTGCGCCTGTGCCTGCTACGACATCTTCACCAACAGGCGCCGAAAATGAGGACCTTCGCGAGATCGGTGTATCACCACTGTCCGGCGTCGCCAGCAACGCTAGGCACTTGCCATCGGCAGTGATCGCCAGACCATCCCTGCTGAAGATGTACAGTACCAATCTACGTCGCTACACACTCTGGCCTGGACAGGCGCTGTATGAGTAAGTCTGGAGGCAATGCATAAGTGCGCTTGCTCGGCTTCGTCTTTGGGCTTACTTTGCCTCTCGACAGTCGCGCGGACGACTGCCTCGTTGTTTCTCTGTCTGACGAGTGGGGCGTAGCCGTCATTGATGCTATCACAGGTAGACTGCTGTCACTGAAACGACTTCGTGCAGCACAAGGGAGTGCCGGTAATCAGCTCCGCATGAGCGAGGGGTGGATCATGGATGCCAGTGGAGATAGGGAGATCTGCGTGAGTCAGACCTTCTCTGCTTATCGTGCCATGACTCACTCGAGATACTTCCGTCCAACATCAGATCTGGCGCTTCGAGCGTCTAGTTCAAGGGGTATCAGCACCGCGGCGAGGAATCCTGCGCAAATTTGACTTCCTGCAGATACCACACAAGATCTGCGTCTTTCGCTGGCGTTTCCCTACTCTGGTCATTGCGACCGAGGGCTACCACTGCCTCGTGTATGATGTCCCCGGAAAGCGCCTCACGCAGGATATCTCCCTGAAAGACTTGCCTATCTACAAATGGTCAAGCTTGTAAGTTTCGTAGGAGAGCGGTGATGATAAAGCATGACGTGTTACAAAGTTCTGCTGACGGGCACACGATCTACATCCATACTTGAAGTACATCTGTTGAATTCGATCAGACTTACATCTACATCGCGTACAACTACTCTGGTCCGAGAGAGAGCGGTGGATACGAAAAGTCTGCTTTCCTTCAGGTCTACAAGCGGGAGGATGGCAGGTGCCTCTGGACATGCTCTGCCGCTGATCTCTCTGCTATCAGCACTGCCTACATCCCCAAAGCACCTGACAGGAGCAACTCTCGGCAAGACGACCAGAGCGTCCGTTCGCCTGTCTTGTCTCTTCCGGACCAGCCTGTGCGAGGAGAGACCACGGCCATATTTGACATGTGCCACGACGATCGCACTGGCTCGCTGCTTGTGCTAGAGGCACAGAAGCTTTTTGTCATACGTGGTTTCCAGACGAGGGGTAGAGCAGCAATGGCGTCGGGAGATCAAGCCACTTTCGAACTGGCCGCAGGTCTGACGGTCATGTGCGTAGATCTGGGTCAACAGCTTCACGGAGGTCTGGGTCAACAGCTTTACGACGGTCCCCTAGCAGTGTCTGATGGTCGAGCAGCCTTCGTGGTAAGAGTGAGTGGAGCAAGAGCTATCCAGCAGCATTATCCGAAGAGGTACTGAGTCATTCAGCCTCGCCAATTCTGCTCACAGGGAGCTCTGTTCATCATGGACATTGACGCAGCAATCAAGTCGGCTCATGATGGAGCAAGTCAGCGCGGCGCCTATGCCATCTACGTCCTGAGAATGCCGCACTTGGACTTCGAGCTGACCTGGAGCGTTCACTTAGATTCCACTTCCTTGACGGCGGTGGTAGATTCCGATGGATTCCTCCATCGGGTACGTCCTGGCACGCGAAGGCAAAGAGATGGAACTGTGGAAGAGAGCACCAACGAACGTGTCGTCACCTCGTGGTGGGAGCGGGAGCTGGCACACGACTACGACGAGGAAATGCATCCAAGCCAGAAGATCTTAGTATTTGACTTTGGTCAGCTCGCAAGAGAGACGCACGCGGCAGGCGCACAGACTCCTGACAATCAACGAGGCAAATCCAAGACCTTGTGTTACCCTAGTGGCCTAACACTAGCCGCTTTGCAAAGATCAGGACACATGTTGATGAGGCCATTCCGGGAGAAGGGTTGCTTCGATGAAGGGTCCACTCCCGACAGCGAAGACGCCATGAGGAATTGGGAAGGTATCGACGATGACGTGTGGGTGCCAAGAAGCGTCGCATGCCAGTGTGTTCCCGTCTGGCGACCGGCCGGGTGAGCGTTCAGAAGCAAATGCGGCAGCAGACCTGTCTCTGCGAGCTCGAGAGAATCAGAGGACAGTTGTACAGCGGAACTCTATCAGACCGGATGACACCAAAGATGACAAGACAAGGGCAGCACGTCGTGGCCCTAAACAGAGAGGCGCAATCCGTAGCAGTCTCGACGACCATACGGTAGAGACTGACACTGGCGATGCGACCGAGCCGCAAACAAGCGAGTCTCTATACCCACGACTTTCCCTACCCACTCTTTTGCGCCAATCCCCATCCACACCTGTCCCCTCTGTCACCCGTGTAACCGAGATCGAGCTCCTCACTTTTCAATAGACATCCAACTCGTCTAATGTCGAATCTGACTACCTGTACGAGGCACCATGGCAAAGGCGGGTCACGATGAACTAGATGCAAGGTGCGGCACCTTTGAACGACGCGCCGGCGCTTCCTTGCCGCCCTTTCCGTGCCGCTGCACCTTCAAGGCAAAGACGTCGGCTGGGCGGATCTGTCTTCGTTGCTCTTACGCGGACAGGCGGGTCGGTCGTCCATGGTATCCAATTGCTACGTCGTTCCGATGCTTCAGCCTCAGGAGCTCTCGGTTTGACTGGACTAGGTAGCCTGGCGGGATGTACTGTGAGACCACGGTTCTCGTATCGACTGGTCTCGGACTCTTCTTGTGCTAGCTACGGTAGCATAGAATGGTCATACAGCCCGCGCCGGTCTGTGAGCCAATGTATGCGGAGTTTGGGGGTGGGAGCAAAGTGTCTCCTGCGTCTCTTACACTCATAGCATTCACGCTTGCGATCCCACTTCTCCATCCCTCGTTCCTACATGGCTACCATGTCCATACAGGAGCTGCCCTCGGAGCTGCTCGTCTTCATATTCCTGAACTTAGACCCTCTCTCCGCCATCAAATGCCGGGCAGTATGCAAAGGTACGTCGGAGAAGATTTGATGTCAATCAAAATAGATGGGCTGAGCGCGTACATACGACCTGACCCGACTTGACCAGACTGGGAGGCCCTGGGCAAATCAAACTTGTTCATGAGGGCCCTCTGCCAGCACGAACGCTTTCTTGCCCCAGGACAGACCTTATCCAGCCTCCGCAAACCGAAGCGTCGCCCGCGCGGTTCATACCTCAGTTGGTCCCACACTCATTCTCAAGGGCAGCTCAAGGGCTTAAGACTAAAGGATATGGCATCGTACGACGTCTTTTTCAAGAACAAGTGGCAGATACAGAATGCCTGGCCTCCTTCAAGAGTGCCTGCGGAGTTGTCTCCTTCCATCTCTGCGCCGGGTAGTACCGAGGTCGAGGCCACTCTCGATGCAGCAGTCAAGGACCCCAAACTCGAAACATCAACATCGTCGTTGCCATCGAAGACTACCGATAGGCCATCGCTTCTGAAGATGTACAGTACGAGCCTTCGTCCCGGCACATTTTTTCCGGGCACGGCCTGCTTCGAGTGAGCAGCTGAGTGAAGTAGATCAGACAGACCTACAGACATTACTTGATTTGGCTCCCCTTTCCTTATTGTGCGGCAGTCGAGCAGAAGAATGCCTCGTCACTTCAATAAAGAACGAGTCTGGGCTGGCTGTCATCGATGCTCTCACGGGCAGCGTGCTTTCGTTCTATCGTCGTTCGGCAGCAGGTCGACCGGCAGGGGCTCAGCTATGGCTCAGCGAAGGCTGGATAGTGTATGCTACAGGACACAAAGAGCTCCTCGTGAGTTCCACTCTGTACTAACAGTTACCCAAAACTTAACCCAAGTCACACGCATTCCGCGATAGGTCTGCCGCTTCGAGCGTCTCATCAAACCCATACAAGAGCCACGACGAGGGTTTCTACACAAATTTAGTACAATCCAAAGCCCGGACGATGCCAATTTTAGGGCCTGCCGCTTCCACTTTCCGACTCTAGTGGCTACGACCGACGACTATCACTGTTTGGTTTACGACGTTCCCAAAAAGGTCTTGGCGCAAGACATTGTTCTGAAGGGTTTGCCTCTCTCTCTCCTTCCAGAGGTGAGCTTGTGAGTAGTCCTTTGTAAGATGGGAAGGATCAGTAGAGATCTGCAATTCAATAGCAGCGTGACTGAGTTCTGTACAAGCTTTCTCCATACTGCATCAGTCCCAGTGTGGATTTCGACGAAGAGTACATCTTCGTTCTCTTCAATTGCCATGCAAAATCTGACAAGGGCGAAGTGAGCGTGACTGGGTTCCTTCAAATCTACTCTCGCAACAACGGCAACTGTCTCTGGACATGCCCGGCATTTACACTTGTGTCTATCAGCTCCACATTGTATCTTGAGTCGCCCCACAGAGTCAGCCCTTGGGGAAATTGCGATGGCTCCCATTGGTGCCTCTTGCCAACTAGAGATGCTCCCCCTGCCCACCAGCAGAACGCGACGAAGTCCAGCGGCCTGTATGCTGTACGTCATGACAAGCACACCGCTTCGCTTCTGTTGCGCGGAGGACGAGGCCTGTTCATCATTCACTACAAGCCGAAATGTAGAGCAGCACTTGCATCTGGTCCATCAGATCGTCCCGATACGGATATCAGCACAACAGCGGTGTACATCCAAGTGGGTCCTCGCCGTGACTTCGCCGATCGCCTCGCAGCCTATGATGGCAGAGTCGCCTTCGTGGTAGGGGTGAGTGGGACGAGGACTGCTCAGCAGTGTCAGAAGAACCTCTCTGACCGCTGTTCTCCGTTGGACCTTTGGTCCAGACCGCACTGGTGATTGTTGAAATCGACGTAGCAGTCACGATAGCGCAGACCGGGGCCGGATTGCATGGTCGTTGTGCTGCCTATGTCCACCGGCTCTCAGATTTACGATTTGGCGAACTCTCATCGCTGCAAATGGACGCCACTTCTTTGACAGCAGTGGGGAGCTTCAACGGCATATTGATCCCGAATGGCATACGTCGCCCTTCGCATCCGCCTGCTGGCCAGCCCAGCGAAGGGACTGAGGCACCAGTTGGCGTCGAACAAACCGACAACGCTTCATGGGAGCAAGAACTTGAAGACGACGATGAGGTACTACAGCCGCTCGACAAGGTTCTAGTCTTTGACTTTGGTCAGCTCGCTAGAAAGCTGCGATCCGTGAGTGCTCGAGCTCTCACTGACGAAAGAGCGAAGAAAACAGTCTTGTGCTATCCTAGTGGTCAGACTCTATCCCGTCTTCAACGCTCTGGGCATATGGTGATGGACCCCTATGGAATGTTCGAAGAATACGAGGAGCCCTCGACAGACGAAGACGAACTTTTTGCCATCATGGACGAAAATTTGTGGAGGGTTTGGGGAGCACATGAGCCAGGATGTACGTGCGGCAGCTAAAAGATTCTGTCACGCCACTTTGGCCAGCAGATGGTCTTGGGATCGCAGCGGATGAGCAACGAAGAAAAGGCAAATGAGGAATGTGCAGCAAGAAGCAAGAAGACCTCCTATGATACCAGAGACACATGATTTCAGAGACGACACAAGACCTGCTCTGCAAGCAGACGCCCACCACGAGCTGCATGCTCCTCCACTGTACTGAAGACAAAGGATTTTGACCCTGCCGCTGAGCCAGGAGCGAAGAAGCGGCTTCTTACCCCCCGTACCTGTACATCCAATCCTTGGCGCTACCCCGATCCTCTTCTTCCTGTCACCATGTACCTCCGACTCACCCTGTCAGTCGTGTAGCCAGAAGCGAGCCACGCAAATGTAATAGACATCCAGAGCCTCATTTGGGACTTACCTTGACTCCAGTGCAGTAGGAGAGCATGGCAAGAAATTGGTCAGAAGCCTCTTGAGCCTGCTGTACTGGCAGCTTTCCAGCCACGCGAGCACACAAAGAAGCAGACTGCCCCGGCCTGCTGTACAATGTCGCGAGCAGTAAAAAGCATGATTGAAAGACAGAGGGATACAGCATGATGTTTTGATTTAGAGGGGTCCTGGGCGATGCAAGAGTCTCTCTTCCTTGAGCCGGGGCTGACGCCATTTTCTTACTGGTCAGCCCGCCTGACTCCATACGATGCAGCGAAGAGGAGAGGAAAGGCTTCCGCCTCCTACCCTCGCCCTCACGTCAGCTGCGCAGCGTTGTGATCTTCACAATTCGCCGCCCTGCGTTGCACTAGTGGGGTTCTCTTCTGGAGAGCCTGCCTCGGGAAGATCGGTTCGCCGCGAGACACCCTCGTTGCTCTCTTGTGGAGCCTGCACGTTCTCCCTTGTCGCCTCGGCCTCTTCCTGGTGTCCTACCGATACGTGCTCCTCTTCCTCGTAATCTTCCGATTCGTACTCCTCTTGATCGTACACTTCCCGTTTTTCAGGTATTTGCACCTCACCCGATTTCAGCAGTTCGGTCAAAGGCCTTGCGCCCGGGTAGCAAATGATCGTGCCCAAGGTCTGCGGCGGCGGCCTGCGCCGTTTCACGGGCACTCTGCGCATTCCAGTCCTCGAGAGGTGGCCAAAGTCGAATCTGACAAATCTTTGCGAGGGTTCGTCTTCGTCGTCTGTGAAGTCATCCTCGTGTCGCACCCATCCGGGGTCATTTTCAGCTTCCCTTGCTTGATTCGCCTCGACTTCTCGAGTGGATGCAATGGTAGGTTCGTACGAGAGAAGGTAGTCATTGAATACGCCCACTGCCGTGAGAGAGGTCGAGTCCATGTGCAGACTGGGGCACATTTCAAAGTCGAGGGAAAAGTCGACGTACTGCCAAAGTGTCTGGTCAAGTAGACTCGATGCTTTTGTCTCAATAGCCCAAAGCAGCGAGCGGATGTCGCCGAGCATGAGTCCGGACTGCTCAGGGATAATGCAGATGCTGGAAGGCGTTAGTACAGAAAAGTGCTCAGGAGAACAGAAATCACCTCTCTCCGATGCTCACTTCGTAAGTAAACGCAAGTCTTCCTTCAGCAACTGCCAAGGTGCTCTGATGGGACCAGCGACGTTGCGAGACTATGCGCATGGCTTTCAGATTCGACACTTGACCATCTTGCTCAGACGCCTGCTTGCATAGGGCCTGGTAGTCCTGTATGATGAAGAGGACCTGACTTCCCAATATGATCAGCGCTCCAGTACTTTCATCGTGGTGAACAGCGCTCAGCCCATTGCTCCACTGGGGACCGCCGTCATCATCTCTGGCTGTTGCCAAGCGGTCTATCTCCTCAGCGTACGCTTGCCTCCACTCAGCACCGCCTTCGAGAGAAGAAAATTCGTGATCAGAATCCAAACGTCGACGTAGGTAACAAGGCGCCTTGGATTCGAGCTGCTCTCTGCTGAGACGGCAGACGCGAGAACCACTGCTTCGAGAGTAGATGAATAGGGAGGCGAGCCAATCTGGAGTCGTGTTGACTTCGCTGAGTACGAATATGTACTCTCGATCAAATTCAATGTAAGCGCTGGGGTAAAGTAGACGGCGAAGACTGCATTCAATACATTGAGCTTTAGCAAACCGTTCTTGCGTGCCGCACGGGGACTTACGTTGTAGACGAGGCGGCCAGGGTAGCCTCCTCGGCAGGATACATAGGTAGGTCTTGAACGATCCTCTTCTCCGGGACGTTGTACACTACGATGCGGCTGTTCTGCGTCGCCACAGCAAGGTGTGGAAAATGCATCCTATAGGCTCTCACACCGTAAGGACATCGGAGAGAGCCGTACTTGCGCAAGATCCCTCGACGCGGCTGCTGCACGTCCTCAACGATTCTTTCGAAGCGCCAGATTTGAAAATGATCTCTCCCGCGGGTATCATGAACTACCCAGCCCTGGTCGTACTCAAGGTGAGCGCGCTGCCTGACTCCGCGATAGAAGAAGAGCAGTTCTCCGGTACTGGCATCGGTCACACCAATGCCAGGTCCGTTGCCGCGGGTGTGGATGAAACAGTCTTCCGCAGCATCGTACTTGACTCTCCACATGCCATAGCGTCTCATGGGCCGGAAATTATCGTCGTAGGTCCTCACGATGGCAGGTACAGCCCAGTCTTTCATGCCGTCATTGGACGAGCCGCTTGAACCATAGTGGTGAGGCCACGCGTCGCGCAACAGGCAGCTTGTCCTCAAGAAAGTCTCATAAGACTCAAGATCGGACTCAGGACGGCCGTACAGCTTGCCTCTGCTATGAAGGTGACCTAAGGTGAGCGGAGAGCCGAGAAGGCGAGGCTGAGGGCTACGCAGCTCCTCGAGACTTTGCCCGGACTTGAGGTAGCCCATGTTCTGGCAAATGCTGCGCAGTACAGCATCTGAGCGGGCGACGTGATTCCATGCTACGAAGGAAAAATGAGCGAGTCTAGATGTTAGCAGCGCATACATAGTCCTCTCTGACCCTTCGCAGTCTCACCTTTTGAGACTCGTCGGCAGGTCAGGGCCGTGCTATCATCGAGGTTGCCCAGGATTGCTGCCAAGAGCTCAAAGGGGAGAGCGTCAATGAGCATCGTCTGAAGAGAGCGAGGGTCCGCAGCAGCTCTACAGGCACTGCGCGAAGGATCGAAGCAGAGATGTCAGCAGTGGCAGAGGAAGAAGAGGAACTTGTAGAGGCAGAAGCGGCGCAAGCATGATTATTGATAGACTTGAGCATGGGCCACCTGCATTCGCACGTCGCGCCCTTCCGTTCCGGGATCTGCATGGGGCCGAGCGTCCTGTTGCATCGTTGCTGGACCCCCCCCTTCCTTCCCTTGATACCCAAACGCGACGGCAGCGTCCATCGCATCCTACTACGTCGTCCGCAGATCATCGTAGCCTACCCGCACCCCACCTCAGAACACTCGCGTTACAGCCCACGTCTGCCATCCTTCGGCAGATCAAGGCTTGCGGACGCTCTGCTTGCTCAGACATACAAGGGCAATAGCAAACCCATCACGCTTCCTCCCTTGGTCCCCTCTGCCCCACTTTTGGAGGCAAAAGCGCACGACCTTCACCAACTCTTGCCTCTAACAGCACAAGACACTTTCGTCAAGAGCCGTCACGCTTGTCTCCACGTCTTCCCTACAGATCATCCAGCCTCTCAAAACGCTTACTTAGCCCAGGGGCGTCAAATCTAGACCTTCAGCTGGCCATCATCATCCTCGCACCGCAACCTGGTCTTGTCCGGCTCAGCTTCCCATCATGAAGTCCCAAGTATCCTATACAGCTCTCTGTGTAGTGCTGATCTTGGCCGGCTTGACATTACCAGCATCGCAGCAATTGAGCGGCCTAGTGCGGGCAGCAGAGATCGCCCCCAGGGTGATAGACCCCGAGACGGTGGTACTGCCAGCAAAGAGGACATATGATACCCATCACTACTACGCCATAGAGACTCGTGCTGGGGTAGACGTGGATCCTCGCGACGTCGCTGAGCTATTAGGCGCCGAGTTCGTAGAAAGGGTAGGAGAGCTGCAAGACCACTGGCTCCTTAGGTCAGAGAAGTCCTTGACAGCTCGGCAGGGTCAATCGTCCGGCAATGAGAAGAGATCAGCTCTTGCGACCCGCAATGATGCCTCAGTCGTGGACGATGATCCGGTACTCCGCCGATGGACCTCCTTGTCTCGTTCACGCCATTCTCGGACTCATGGACTGAGTAAGCGCGATCATTCCCTAGCCATGTCCATCAAGGACGTAGAGCGTCAAGTGCTACGAAAGAGACATAAGCGTAACGTCATCTATTCGCCATGGGACACTCCTCATCTCGATCTTCAACATCGCGCCCCTATCCCCGGACCTGAACCCCATCCGTACCCGGAACCACTGCCTCGACCACCTGTCATTCCGACAGCCAAGCACGTAGTGATGGCCTTGGATCACAAGATTAGCGATCCCATCTTTCCTGAGCAATGGCATCTCGCCAATGATAGAAGACCCGAGAATGACCTCAATGTTTCTGGCGTGTGGGCGCAGAACATTACTGGCACTGGCGTCAGGGTAGCCCTGATTGATGATGGGCTGGACATGCACAGTCCCGATTTGAAGGACAACTTCGTGAGTGGACCCTTGCTGTGAGCTCAAGAGAATCAAGACTGACGCTAATGACTTCTTCTCACAGTTCGCTGCCGGTTCGTATGACTTCAATTCGCATGTAGCCCTACCGGAACCGCGCGAGGCAGACGACCAACACGGCACTCGCTGCGCTGGCGAAATCGCTGCAATCAAGAACGACGTATGCGGTGTGGGAGTCGCCTATACTTCTCAAGTGGCTGGTCTACGTATCCTGTCTGGCCCCATCTCGGACGTCGACGAGGCAGCCGCTCTCAATTACGCTTATCACGAGAACCACATCTACAGTTGCTCTTGGGGACCTCCCGATGATGGACGCAGCATGGACGCTCCCAAAGGGCTCATTGCAAAGGCCATTCTGAACGGCATTCAGAATGGACGTAACGGTAAAGGAAGCATCTACGTCTTCGCCGGAGGAAACGGAGGAGCGTTTGACGACCAGTGCAACTTTGATGGCTACACCAACAGTATCTACACGATGACCATCTCTGCTGCTGACAGGGAGAACCTTCATCCTTACTACTCGGAGATGTGCGCTTCCAACATCGCTACCGGGTGGAGCTCGGGCAGCAATGACCATATCCACACCACTGACGTAGCCTGGAACGGCATCAATCGCTGCACCGCTCACCACGGAGGTACCAGTGCTGCCGCGCCTCTCGTCGCTGGTGTTGTAGCTCTCGGGCTTCAGGTCAGACCAGACTTGACATGGCGAGACATCCAGCACATCACTGTCCACAGCGCTCAGATGATCAACCCTGACGATCCTGACTGGCAAAAGACGCAGGCCGGGCGACACTACAATCACAAATTTGGCTACGGTGTCATCGATGCATATCAATTTGTCGAGGAGGCCAAGAGGCACAAGCTAGTCAAGCCGCAAGCATGGCTCACCAGTGAGAACCAGACTGTCCCAGCCGACGAGACATTTATCGGGGACGGGGGAGTGAAGCGTACCTTCACCGTCACCGAGAAGATGCTCAAGGACGCTAATGTCGAGAGTCTCGAGCACGTCACTGTCCGAGTCTGGATCCACCATGAACGCCGAGGCGATGTCAATGTGGAGCTCACATCTCCCCACGGCACAAAGTCTGTCCTCGCCCGGCCTCGTCGGCACGACGACGCCACCACTGGCTTCCCAGGCTGGGGCTTCATGTCTCTCAAGCACTGGGACGAGTCTCCCATTGGAGATTGGACCATTGCCGTCTTCGATCGTGCTCACCCGAAGCAGACGGGCAACTTCTACGCCTGGCAGCTGACCCTCTGGGGCCAAGCCATCGATGCTAGCATTGCCAAGCCGTGGAACTTCCCCGAGAACTCCCTCGAGTACCACGAGACGCTCGCTTCTGCTCCCTCTAGCACGCCTGTGCAAGGCGCCCAGGGGGGAGAAGCCGCCAGCTCGGGAACGTACAAGCTGACAAAGCCCACCGACCATCTACCATCGGACCACGGCTCCCAGGCTGGCGAGTCGCACCAGGACTTTACCAATCCCAGCGGCAAGCCGGAGGGCGACACGGGCTACCTGACCGGTTTGAAGCAGAACTCTACCTGGCTGTTCGTGGCAGTAGGCATCGTCGTCATCTTTGGTGCCTCTGTCGGCGCATTCTTCCTCCTCAGGAGGACACGTCGCGGTAGACGAGGAGGTGAGAATGCTGCCGACTACGAGTTTGTGCCGGAGGACGAAGACGAGATGCAGATGAGTCGTCTGGACGGTGGGCTTGCCGGTGCAAGAGGAGGCGCAGCAAGCGGTGCAGGTCGGCGCACTAGGGAGATCTACGACGCTTTCAGGCCAGGTAGTGATGAAGAGGATGATGGAGACGAGGACGAGGCTTCTCTCCTCAGTAACCGCGCCCAGCCGTCCAGCAGGGGCGGCCGCGGGGGCGGTAGCGCTACTACGGGGCAGTACAGGGACGACCCGGAAGACGACCCAGTGGACCAACGGGGTCGGGCCGTCTTCGACCGTGATGAGGACGAAGACGAGGAAGAGGACGGAAGGTTCACCATCGGCGGTGAAGGCGGTGATACTCCACTACCGTCTGCTTCTGCTCGAGAGGGAGAGCAGGCTGCTCAACAGGGTGACCTTCTTGGGGCGAGCGGGGATGATAAGGATAATAGCAGTGGTGGTAGCTGGCAGGATGCTGCGCTAGATCAGGGCGAGAAGCAGGGCTAGTGGGCTGTGAAAGAGGTGATCGAGGTCGGGCTGTTCGTTACTTGTCCGCCGCATAGAGAGCACTCGCTTGCACTGCGAGCAGAGGGGTACAAGTCAATATTGTCATCACTATGAATCACTATCAACTCTACACGTGCTCCTTCGCCAAGCTCCTCTGGGTGTGATGCGATACTCGTGGTATTGTGAAATAGTATTGTACATGCGCATCCGCGACGATCTCGATCCTCCTCCCTTTTCCCCACCCCCATCCCCCACCCTCCTCCTTCTCTTCCCAGCCCGCCTCAGGCCTTCAACTTCTTGCTCCCGCCCTCTTTGTTCTTTCCCTCTTCATCCTTCCTCTTCTTCTGTCCTCCCACTCCGCCGCTGCCATTGCTACCGTTGGCAGCAGCACTGGAGAGGGAAGCGAGTGTGGATTTCCATTCCTTGTTGAAGAAATGCTCGAAGCTGTCCACGAGGGCGAGGATGGCCTCGTTGGACGCGTTGAACGTCTTGGCGTTGTTGATCATCAGTCTGCATGGAGGGTGGGAGAAGGGAAGCGTCAGTTCGAGCTGTCCTCTGCGCGGACACTTCTTGCAAATACTCACCTAACATCCGCCTCCAGATCCGATGCCCGTCCATAGCCGTCATTCTTGAGCTTATCCCCAATCATTCCCAGATCCCTCGCCTTTTCCTGTGGGATCACATCAAAGTAGTGCGGCAGAGCCTTGACGATCTCCTCTACCGGCTGCGTGAACAGCCCACCCAATTGACTGCTCTTGATCCGGCTGATCATACTCTGCAGCGCTCTTCGATCATTGTACTCCAGCCGACGCACAAGGGCTTTAGGCCACTCCTTCTTGAAGGCGGCGCGCACTGCCTCGGCGTACTGCACAGCTGTGACATCGGCGTAGATGTAGGCATTGTCAAAGATCTGCACCATGTCAGAGGCGAATTGGTCCATTGTGGCATACTGATTGCTGTTCAGCTTCGTCTCCATCGTCTCCAGATCCATGGGGTGATGGACAACAGAGAAGTAGCCAGGTGCATACGCCTCGTCGACCGGATTCAGGAAGAGGACCGCCTCTGGGACTTTCTTGAGGTTCTGCAACAGTATCTTGCACTGCTTAGAGTGGATCGGCTCTCCTTTGCCCATCTTGACGGGATCTTCACCAGGAGCAATAGGCGGCGGAGCAAAGTTGCCGTAGGCAGGCTCGACAGGTGCCACCTCCGGAGCAGGCGGTGCGGGAGACCCGGCAGAGCCAGCACGAGGTGTAGCACTCTTGCTTTTGACCTTAAGCTTTGGGGCAGCGATGCGAGGAGCTTCAGGGGCCGCATTGGTTCGCTGAGGCTCGCTGCCGCCCACAGCTGGTGAACCTGCCGGCGAATTTGCACCGTCGCCGTTCACATCGACAGAAGCTTTCGACTTTAGTTTTAGCTTCAATCCCAGAGGCCGAGCCGGACACGAGGAACTTTGCGGAGAAGCAGTCGCAGGCGAAGCCGGAGCTGGAGCGGGCCTCGTGGGTGCACGTACAGGGAGAGGAGGTGGCGCCATTGGTCCAGAGACGGGTGCAACCGGCACAGCAGGTACAGACTCGATGGGAATGCCAGGCGCAGCATTGTTGATAGATGCAAGAGCGGCCTGTTTAGCCGCGGCCTGCTCGAGAGTCTTGTTTGTCTTGGCCCACAGGGTTTGGAAGGCTTTGCCTAGAGCCTCCGCTTCCTTGTGCACGAATGCCATGGGGTCAGGCGTATACGTCTTAGCGTTGGCGACCAAGAGGTTGAAGTCTTTCTCGAATGCAAATCGATCTGAATATAAGCCTTCCTCGAGCTTATTGCTCATTGTGCTCAAATCCATAGGCTCTTTGATGATTTGGTGGTAGTTCGGAGCGGAATCTCGTACGGGATCAACAGGGTTGATGAAGAGGAAGGAATGCTTGCTGGAATAGAGCTTCTTGAGGGCATTGCGGCATGCTGTGACGTCTGTGGCGGTCATTCCGCCCGTCTGTGCTTGTGGCAAGGGTTTGGCTTTCTTCAGCTTGAGTGTGGGTCGGGTTGAGCTAGCTGCGGGCTCTTGTACATCATCTTGGAATGCTACCCGAGCTGCGGGTTGGGTAACGAGCTGCTCGTCCCCAACCTTGACTTTGGAGCTGGTCGCCGCTTCGAGAGGATCTGCCTCAGGCAACAGCTGCTGACGAGATACAGAGGGCGTTACGGGCACACGGGCGCGCGCCACGACAAGGCGAGCCTCGAGAGGTAGATCGGTCTCTTCTTTCGGCTTGAAGAGAAGTTCTGCCAGTTTGATGAGAGCCCAACGCGCCTCTGAGTCGACGCCTGGTGCCAAGAGAGCTCCCAAAAAGCCTTCTCGGACCGCAGCTGAGCGACCGACCTCTCTTCTCAGTGCACGCAAGGTCAATTCCATCTCCTTGTCCCTCGCCCTGTCCGCGGCCCCGGGGTCTTTGCGATGGCCGCCGCCATCCTCTTCTAGCAGCACCGGGTCTTGACGAGCACCGGGCGCGTCGCCTGTAGCTATCGCAATGGCCAAAGCCTCGCAGATGCCTTTTGCCAAGTCTCTCTTGACCAGACGATTCTCATCACTCCGGAGAACGCTGAAGAGGTAGCGCACGACAATCCTGTGCTTCAGACCGCTGAGCAGAAGCAGATAGTTGAAGGCTGAGGTACGCACTGGTGTGAACGTTCCTTGCTGAGTGTAAGCAAGGAAGAGTCGCAGATCGAGTGGAAGCTGATGAGAAAGAACCATCGCCGCCTGCCAATCAAGGCAAGCTAGTGTGATGACGTTGTGGTACGAGGGCACAAGCTTGTCCAGCTCTTGCAACCGACTGATCTCGCCCAAGGCATGCTGCATAAGGACAACATCGTCTGACGCATCCGGATCTTCGTTGGCCGGAACGTAGCCTCCATATGTGGAGCTGTCGATCGGAACGAATGCTGTGGCTAGAGCGCTCAGAAGAGTTGCTAGGTAGTAGTCGTCAATGTATCGGTTCGTAGAGTTGTCATTGTACCTGATCAGATTGAGCAGGAAGCGCTTGACGTGTGGCAGAGTCCTACCTCGCTCGTTTCTGACTCTACTGATCGCTTGGATGAGAGCTCGTCTGATGAAATAGTCTGCAGGATCGGTGAAGTCGTTGGCCTTTGGGATGCACGACATATCGAGCATATCGCCAGTACGACCTGTAGCTTGATCCTCAGTGTCGAAGCAGTAGCTCGTCTTGAAGAGCATGAGCAGATGGAAAAGGCCGAGATATTCGAGATGAGGGATAGCACAATTGACGAGAGCTTGAGCAGCTTCAGTACGAATGCGAAAGAAGTACTTCGACACCAGAACTGTCCTCGTCAGCATCGAGCTGGACAAGGCATTAGGCAGGTTTGCCAAAGCCTCAACAGCCTGAAGCTGAGCGACAACATCACGATCTCGCTGTAATTGAGAGACCCACATGTAGTCGGGCTGATCGACATGGATGGACGCGATCCACTCGAAGTCAGCGTCCATCCGGATCCACTCATAAGCAGCTTGAGACATGACGTCTTCCTCCTCCTCTGTCCAATCAGCGACTTTCCATCTTACTCGTTGCTCCTCGTCTTCCCACATGGCCAGACTGAAGCCGAGGTCGATCATACCAATAGCCTCGGCAGCGTCTTGGTCACCCTCTGCGGCAGCAGCTGCAGCGGCTTGCCTAGCTTGAAAGCGCTTCGTATTACGACGCACTCTCTTGTACTTTGTATTGAAAGGCACATCGTATCGCTTTTGAAAGGACTTGAGATCGAGAACATGCTCATAGGGGCGACCGTCAGCTTCATGAATACGGATAGTCATTTGGCCTTCGAAGAGCTTGATGGGATTGGAACCGACGGCTTGCTCTGGTCTATACTCGGCGAATTGAGCGGCCGGCGACTCTTGTCTGACGTGGATCTCAATCGTGAGCTTCTTCCGATTGAAATTTGAGCTCACGAAGAAGCGCGGACAGCCACTGCCATAGATCCACTGCTCAGTGAACTTGCGGAGATCGACACCGCTGACCTTTCTGCAGGTTCGCAAGAAGCTGGACGTGCTGAGAGTATTGTTCGGTAGCTCACCGGTGATAGCCTGCAAGAGCACCCGTGGGATGACACGTCCTAGACCTAGAGAGGCTCCCGCTTTGCAGAGCCTTCGATCGAGGATGTGGAGTACGAGAGGAGCCTTGAGGTTGATAAAGGGTAGTGTGGCAGCGTCTGGCGGCTCTTGCGAGCCCAGTTGGCCGATCGGAGGCATACCTATATCCCAAGCGCAGACTCTGTCACAGTCTTTCCTGAGTCGAAAGCGGTACTCATTGTTTCCCATCAAGCGTCGCCAGAAGAGTCCCGAGACGTACAGACTGAGTCCGTTGATGAGCCAGGTGTCGGACCAGGTCTTTTGGATGATGTTGATCCCCACCCATTGTACAGCCAGCGAATGGGCAATGATTTGCCTCGTCTCTAGCGCCTGATCGATGACCGAAGGAGGGTGGAGCAAATCGGCCGAGAAGATTGACAAGGTCGAAGTGTTGTGCACGTCGACTACTGCATCTTCAATGAAGACCAACTTGAAGCTGGCGAAAGGGAAGGAACCAAAATCTCGACTGAAGTAGGTCATGGCTTGTTTTGCTACTGCTGTCGAATTGCGAAGCTCCTCCTCACGGCCAGGCAAGCAGAAAGCGACCATTTGCAGCTCGCTCGAATCTTCTGTGTCCCCAGCAGCGTCCGCGGGTCGATCAGTCGAAGCCTTTTCGGCTAGATCAAGAGCTTTGAAGCAGCCTGCCGCAAATCCGACATGCTGGGCTGAGGTCGGTGCAGCCTGAATAAAACTGTAGATCACTTTGCGCGAATTGTGAGGATGGATGGTCTGAGCGCAAGGGGAGAGAATGAGCTTTTGTGAGTCGGCTCCGTCTCAAGTTCTCGTCTATATCGTGGTCCAACTCACCTGCTCAACAAGATCGCCTGTGGAAATGACGACGCAGTCATGGCTTTCTTCGGCATGGCTATCCTCATCCACCGGACTTTCTGCTAGCCTCCTTGGTACCACGTACTGAAATTCCCACGTGTTCCTCTCCCACAAGCTATCTACGCATGGGACCCAGCATCGCGCGTAGTCTGAGCAGGTGGGGCTGGTGTACATATGGAGCTGCCGCCATGGAGCCTCAGCAGTCGGCCGGATCAGCTGAATGGCATCGGCCGGATTCGAGAGGCTGTAATTGATGCGTATTGTGATGGCATTGGCTTCTCCGGAGGCCGTCGCTGCTGCTGACGGTCCGCCAGGCGTAGGAGCGTCGTTGTCCGGGCCAGGCGTAGCGGGTACAGACGTCGATTGCGACGTCTCCACACGGACTGACGCTGGGATAGTGATAGCTAGCTCGCCTCCCTGGCCATCACTAGCGGCAGCATAAAGCTTCCGTTTCAGCTCGGGAAAGAGGTGGACATCCCTTTGATCAGATATGGTCACTGCTGTCAGAGAGTCCAAGACGGTGAAGTCGGCAGATTGACCAGCGCATGTCACCGAGTGGATTGCTGAGAGATCGAGAGGGTACAAGCGGGTGAGCGAGTAGGTCGTCTGATTCGTCCTACAGCCTTTGGGCGACACTCACCACACTGCCTGCTGTTCAGAAATACAGTCTTCAGGTGACGATCGGTAGGTATGATCGTCAACTCAGTGTATCCTGCCAATACCGCCGACGAAGATGAGGCGAAGCCAAGCTCGAGTGCGACCTTCTGATGGCTGACCGTAAATCCTCTCTCGGCGCTGCTGCCGGCGGAGGCCCCAGCGGTGCGAGACATCGTCAAGACGTGAGCCACCCGGCAGGCTACACGACGAGATGGTGTGAGGCGAGCAGCAGCTTGTGGGCGGCGGCAGAGCGGACAGGCGGAAGTGAGGTGGGAGTGGTAGGTCAGACTGGTACGCGGCGGCGGAAGGAAGTAGCCACGCCTTGGCCATGGCCGACTGTCGCTCCGACCCGCGCGGCTCCGACGGAGAGATTTAGAGCGTAGACCCGCCAGGCCAGAGATTTCCCCAGCTACCACTGCTCAGAGCCCCCAACCATCACCACCACCATCACGACCAACTCATCACCGATCACAACATGAGGGTGACCACAAGTCTCCTCAGTAGGTCTCTGGCTGGACCATCGAGACAGATCAGTCTCTCGCCGGCTGGTGTGGCTCGCGCCTTGTCTGCAGCAGCCTCGGCCAAACCGAACCTCACATCGCGATCTATCGCTACACCGCCCCCCTCCTACAGAGTTTCCTCACCACCTCGTGCAGGGCCCGTCAGCTCTGCACTTCCTCGCCGCTCCTACTCAGTAGACTCCTCGCCAATTACAAGCGCCTCGCTGATAAAGACATCCACCCTGCCGAATGGCGTGCGGGTCGCCACAGAGGGTACCCCGGGTCACTTTTCGGCCGTAGGCGTCTACGTGGATACAGGCTCGCGTTACGAGCGTCCCTGGATAAGTGGAGAGAGCGGCGTGAGTCACCTGCTCGACCGGATGGCTTTCAAGAGCACCTCGCAGCGGTCTTCGGAGGTGATGACGTCCGAAATCGAAAAGCTGGGAGGCAACGTCATGTGCTCGTCTTCGAGGGAGACGATCATGTACCAGTCTTCGATGTTCAACCAAGACCTGCCGGCTGTACTGTCGATACTGGCTGATACCATCCAGCATCCTCTGCTGCTGCCTGAGGAGCTGGACGCGCAAAGGCAGGCCGCCGCATACGAGATCCAGGAGATTTGGAACAAGCCGGAGATGATCCTGCCTGAGCTGCTGCACTTGGTGGCCTACAAAGACAACACATTAGGCAACCCTCTCCTCTGCCCCATTGAGAGTCTAGAGCAAATGACAGCAGATAATTTGAGAAGCTTCATGAAGCAGTGGTATACACCAGAGCGGATTGTGGTGGCGGGAGCGGGTATGCAGCACGAGCAGCTGGTAGCGCTGTCCGAGCAATTCTTCGGTGGAGCAGCAGCAAAGCAGTCTGTGCTTACAGATAGCTCGTCAAGGTCATCATCAAGGAGCAGCAGCCCATCTTCGGTCTTTTCCTCTTCATCCTCCGGGTCGAGCACTAGTACGTCCCCTTCGTCAGCCAGCAGCTACAATCCTTCAGCAGATTTCTCCACAACAGCCAAAACCTCAGCATCGCATCTCTCCGACATTCCCGGCTTCCCTACCTCTTCAGATCTAGCTCAGACTCGAGCACGGTATACAGGTGGTGAGCTCTACCTGCCGCGCGAGGACCTAGAATTCACTCACGTCTACGTAGCATTTGAAGGCGTGTCCATCCACGATGACGACATCTATGCTCTCGCCACCCTTCAAATCCTCCTCGGCGGTGGCTCCTCCTTCTCTGCCGGTGGCCCCGGAAAGGGAATGTACTCCCGCCTGTACGGCGTGCTCAACACGCACCACGCCGTCGACTTCTGCTCTGCCTTCCTACACTCTTACTCTGATTCCGCCCTCTTCGGAATCGCCGCCTCGTGCGAGCCACGCTTCAATGCCTCGATTGGTAACGTCATTGCTCGCCAGTTGGAGCTCTGCACCGGTCCACTGAGAGGAGGTATTACCACTGCTGAGCTGAGCAGGGCGCGCAACCAGCTCAAGTCAAGCCTGATGATGGCTCTAGAGTCGCGCCTGGTTGAAGTGGAGGACCTAGGTCGCCAAGTTCAAGTGCACGGCAAGAAGGTCACTGTAGAGGAGATGTGCGAGAAGATTGACCAGGTGGACCTGCCGCGTCTACACCGCGTTGCAACTCGAGTGTTGAGGCCCACAGCAGAGAAGGAAGGTAAGGGGCAGAAGATGAACTATGGTTTGGGTAGCGGACAGACGACCGTAGTCGCACAGGGAAACCTCGAGGGACTGGGCGATCTGAGGCAGATGCTCTACTCGAGAGGACTGGGCGCGAAGCCAACTTCACAGGCCTAGGTCCTGAAAGCGGGCAATGTATGGAAAGTTGAGAGTGCAGAGCATGCTCAGCGAGCGGACCCGTTGAGCGGACGGCTGGCCGAATGACCTTTTATAGATGACTCGATGTTGTACTTTTCCCCTTGACTCGTACCACTCATATTGTAAGGACTCTCTACCACCAATCACCAATTTGCATGCCTTTTCAGCTCAAGAGCAAACAGTCTGATTGTTTGCAGCTACTGGCGTGGCTCGGTGGGGTATGTTACATTAGGCAACGCGACGTCTGAAATGGGTGCTCTCTCTCCTCTCCTCTCCTCTCAACTCCAATCCAACTCATCATCAATATGTTGAAATCCACCCGCCGCATCCCCTGCCCCACCACCAGCACCAGTGCCAGCCATCTGCATCAACTCCTCCATCCTCCTCTGTGCCTCCCTCTCCCTAAGTGCCTTTCCCTCCATCACTCCCCTCAATCCACCTACATCCACCCTCTCTCCATCCTCTGTGGCACGCGTATCCGTAGTGTGGAAGTCATGGCGTGGATCGTACCGGATTCGTGGGTCGAGGGCTTCGTACAGGGAGGAATCGTGACGGGCGTCGAGTGGGTTGGGGTGGGAGAGGGAAGAAGAGGTAGCGCCGGACTCGGTGTCTTGCTCGGTTGCTTCTGGTGGTGGAGGCGGACGACGCTGTGAGGTCTTTGCGGAGATGACCTGGTAGGACGTGGTGCAAGGGGAAAGGGAGAGCTCTCCAATCAGCTCTGTCCCTCCTCTAATCTTAAGCTCCCACCCCTATCTCTGTCTGTTCAATTCCCTCTCCGCTTTACTCACGTAGCAATTATCGCACCAAGGACAATACTCGTCTGACTCTTCAAACACGCTGAGGTCCTTGCGGAAAGCGCGCTTGCATGCTTTACACACAAATGCCATCTCTGTAGTCTTGCGTAGGGGGTGATCAGATGACTCGGCGTGGCATTGTGGACACTGGGTGAGATGAAAGGAAGAGTGGGAGATTGGATAAGAGTGACGGGGGTCAGCTCGGAATGGAAGAATTGGAGTTGGACGGCCCGGGGCTCACTCACGTCGAAGAAGCGTTGGCAGCATGGTGCACGCACTGTGACCTGGGCGTTGAGGATATGCTTGCTGAAAGCGACAGAGGAAGAGAGAGGATATGGTCAGCGATATCCTACCACATCTCCATGAGCTTGCTACTCACCACATGACCGTCTACTCTTTGCGTACGGCTCTGGTGGAAGGTGTTGGTCTACCAGTGACTTGCTCCCCTCTGCTCTTCTCTGTTCCGTACCGAGGTGGCTTCGTCCGTCGGGGTTTGAAATTGCGCGTTTCCGCCTTGGACTCGCAGCTTCAGAATTCACTTCTTCCCGACGGAAGCAACTTTACATTTACATTTCAACACCTTTTGCTGAATTTCCCCCTTCCTGACACAATCTGCTCCTTCAAAAGGCTCACCATCACTGCAGTACAGCTTATGCTTAGCGCCTTGCAGCGGCAGACATACTTACTACCCAAGGCATCCTGCTACTCAACTTCCGTACTCTGCAAAAGGCACCTAGTTGCCCTCCACTACTTCTCTACAAGTCCCTCCACTGCTGCGTCCGAGATGCCCGACTTGTCCGGCGCACCACCTACATTGGGCAGCAAAGCAAAGCTTCAGTCACAGAGAGGAGGAGCAGGGCGCTTCAACCCGTCAGAGCGTGGTGGGAATGGCAACGGGCGAGGTAGAGGCGGAGGTCACAGCCGAGGTGGAGGAAGAGGAGGCTATCAAGGAAGCAGCGAAGGCGGTAGCGGCAACCGCAATGGCCGTGGGCCAACGGCTACCAATCCTCAACATCCAGGACATATCCCTGGTTCCCTTGCCTCGCGGCCTCTCAATGGCGTCTTTGCCATCGACAAGCCCTCGGGAAAGACGTGCATGGAGCTCCTCGACTCCCTCAAGGACCTCCTCGCCTACTCTCCCCTCTTCCGCAACCCAGACGGTACTCTCCCCGAGGGCAACGGAGGTAATGCCTGGCGTCCCGCAGGAGGCAAGAAGAATCTCAAGGGCAAAGCCGCTCCGCCCAAGATCGGGCAGGGAGGCACCCTCGACCCGCTTGCCTCGGGAGTGCTCGTGATCGGCTTGGGCAGCGGTACGAAGCAATTGCAGAAGTACCTAGACTGCGCAAAGACGTACGAGACGACGGGTCTGCTCGGCACTGCTACCACCAGCTATGACTCGCAGGACCCGGTCATGACACGTGCCCCGCACTCGCACGTCACAGAGGAAATGGTTCACTCCCTCGTGCCCTACTTTACCGGTCCGTTGCTGCAGTATCCACCCATCTACTCGGCGGTCAAAATGGACGGAAAGAGGCTCTTCGACTATGCTAGACAGGGTTTAGAGCTTCCTCGCCCCATCGAAGCGAGGGAGATTGAAATTGTGCACATGGAGTGCTATGATTGGCTCAAAGGTGGGGAACACCCGTTTGTCGCGCCGCAGAAGGAGGTGACGGCAGAGGAAAAGGCACTGCTTGGGAGAGTCAAGGAGATCGTTGACAAAAGTACGGGTGGAAGCAGTACAACTGCCACTGGGCCCCGACCGGGAGGAGGTAGTGCTCCTGCCACGTCCTCCTCCTCGACGGTAGCACCTGCAGAAGCCGAAGCCGAAGCCTCCACTGCGCCACCTGCTACCTTAGGAGAAGTCTCCAGCTCCACTCCCCCCGACCCCGAGTCGCACCTCCCTGCCGCAGCCTTCAAACTACGCATGACCGTCTCTTCTGGCACCTATGTCCGGACCATCGTGCACGATGTTGGTCAAGCGTGCAATTCCGCTGCGCACGTGGTAGAGCTGAGAAGGGTAAGACAGGGAGAGTGGGGAGTGCCGCTGGCGCCTAACCCGGTGAGGAGCACCGAAGAGGCGGTGAAGGCGGAACAGGTGGGACAAGAAGGGTCACTTGAGGAGGGCGCTTCTGCTGCTACTTCGGCAGCACCAGCGTCAAAGACGACTACGACAGAAGAGCCGCCTTCATCCGCACTCGTGCTAGAAGACATGCTCGGAGAAGCCGAAGGCTCCTCCTCTGCAGATCAACCCATGGAAGCCCCACCAGCAGAGGCAGAAGCAGCAGCAGAGCTTGCAGCAGCAGCAGCAGATCCCGAACCTCTGCCTTGTCTTCCCTGGTCCCTCTTCCTATCCGCCCTCGAGGAGCAGAGCAAGGAGAGTGATCCCAATGCGCGCAATTTCCGGCGGAAGGTCGCTGGTGGTGGAAAGGTGGAGGGAGTGGAGGGTAAACAGGATCAGGATATTGAGGAGAAGACCGAGGGAGAGGTGGAGCCAGTGGGAGGTGTGCAAGAGGAGGGTCCGGAGTTGAGGCAGTGGGAGAAGGAGCTCCTCCGCGTCTTGCAACCTTGCTGAAGAACTTCGAGATTCAGGCGAGCAGAAAGAGGGAGGTGACGACTGGAATAGAAATGCTTTTTTTTATACATCGTCGAGTACGAATGGATATATATATCGAGAAGTCCCCTATTGCCCTCTGATAGTCCTGTCCCTCGCCTCTCTACCAACCTCGCTCCTCTCACTACCCACCCCCGACTCCCGCCCCACCAGCATTCCTAATAAGCATCCTCACGTCATTCAAGAACCGATCAATCACATCCTCATACTCTGTCCAATCCTGTCCTCCTGCAGCTCCATTCATTTGCCCTGCTGCTGCACCTCCTCCTCCTCCTCGCGAGTTGAGGACGGGGGGAGAGGAGAGGGAGCTGGCTTGTGATGTTAGAAGGGTAAAGGGGTAGGAAGGGGCAGAGGAGGGTGGGGGTAGAAGCTCGACTTCGAGCTCGTGTTGGAGGGTTGGCTGAAAGAGGTGGACATGGAGCAAAGGGAGCAGGTAAGGTTGGGATGTGAGTTGGGTTGTTTGTTGAGGTGAAGAGCCATAAGTGCTCGACGCTCGACTCGACTCGACTGGTCACGACTTACCTCTCCAGCGCCTTGCGACGGCACCTTCACCTGCGTCAGATCGATCCTCATCCCCGGGTGGGTGTAGGAGAGTCGATTCTTCTCCCTGTAGAAATCGTGCGTCTCCGACGAGGAAGGCTCGGGGGCTAGTGAGGGGCGTCACTTGGCAAAGTCAGTGTCTTTCAGAAGCAGAGGAAGGCTTCGTTCCCTCTGCTCTGTACTCACTCTGAATTTCGAGATTGACACTGATGCGATAATCGAATGCCCTGTTCGGGCAGTACACCTCCAGATTCGCCAGCCTCCTCTTGACCACACTCCCCCTCTCCTTCGTCCTCAGACTTTCGGCTTCTCTCGTCACTCTGACCTTCTCCCTCCCTCCACCGCCTCTACCACCATTGCTTTGGGAGGATGGGAAGAAATAATCAATCTCATTGTGTCGCTTGTAGGCTACTTTTGGGCGTTCGGGAGCAGGGCGGACGAGAGAATTGAGGAGATTGTTGTAGTGGCGGTGTTGCTCCGTTGTCATGTTTGACTCGAAGCGGATGTTGGAAGTGTCCGACAGGACTGATGACGAGAAGGCAAATGAAGGTCAGCTTACCATCTTGAAACATCCTCATTGATCATACTGCTCCGCCTTTGACTCACTCGTCTCGTTAGCCACTGGCAGCTGTACCCTCATACCCGTCCTGGTATCGATGAGCGTTCCAATCTTGGCCTCGAGCTAGAATGAGAGTAGGGTCACGACGTTCGGGCCAAAAGCTGAGCACCTCTGTTGGGTTATTGCTTCTGGCTTTCTCCGCGAGCAGTTCTCACCTCAATCTCAGCCTCTACGCCTCGCAAGTCTTCCAATACGTCTCCTCCCTGGGCAGCTACATATAGCCAACCACCGACGAAGCAGGTAAATTCATCCAGCGGGTCCGTACCAAAGATGGACCGGAAATTGGGCTGTTGTGGAGCTCCTGCAATGCCTGCTGCCGAGGAAGAGGAAGGAGATGGATTGGCCATTACTGCTGATGCAGATACGAACGAGGAGGGAGGAGCAGCTGGAGTGGTACGGTAGCGCCCAGACGGAAGGCCCAAGGCAGCAAGCAATAAGACGCACGGCCAGTGTTGGTCTTACGTAAGCAGCATCGAGGAACGGAAGTAGAGAGGAGCACAAGCCACCCTGCATGCACCGAGACCCATGCACTACTTACTGTACCCTATCTTATCATCTTCCGGGATCCAGCATACCAGTATAGGTGTGACAGCATGCCAGAGTCTCTATCTCAGCGCCTCAGAGCCATCCGAGAAGCAGCACAGCAGCCCAAATCTCGTCCAGTTCCTACTCCGGCGTCGACCCCAGCTCCAGCTCCAGCGTCAGCTTCAGCCACAACTCCTGTTTCTAGTACACTACATACTACACCGCGACAGACGTTCACAAATCCGGCAAATCAAGCTGAACCTAGTGTTTCACCGAACAGCAACATACCAGACGATGACATTGAGCGGTTGATACGACTGACACAGGATGAGGTGCACCTGGATCGGCAGTCTGGTCTTGGAAGCGAGGAGGCTGAGGAGGAAGGGGTAGATCCGGCAGGGATTGAGAATCCGGATATTGAGACGCAAGCCTCGCTACCACCTGGTCCCTCGCAACGAGAGACATCAAGCCTCTTACGAGAATCAATGGGCGTCCTGGGGCAAGCGGAACGTCTGCAGGGTTCGGCGCCGACGCAACCTGCTTCGAGTACAGGGCAACGGAGCAAGCCAATCCTAACTCGGGGCTCATCATCGCGACTGAAAAGCCAAGACAGTGTGAGTGGATCAAACCATCAAGAAGCAGATGTCGAAGATGATTCATTCGATCTAGCGGAAGATCTGGCTGAAGCGCTCGGAGAAGAAGTCAAGCGGAGACCAGTGGCGGGCCTCGAGACGGAGCAGCAGCTAGCAGCGAGCTCGTCCTCATCACCAGCAGCAAGAGAGATACAGGTACCAGACGGTCCTGGCTCAAGTCGAGCGGAGGAGCTGGAGCGAGAGCCAGAGCCAGAGCCAGAGCCAGAGCCAGAGCCAGAGCCAGATGAGATCCAAGACGAGGTCGACGCTCTCATCGCCCGATTCAGTGCTCTACGTCCGGCACGCCAAGCAACTCCATCAGAGCAGGCATCATCCTCTCCGTCCACACGGTCTTCACCTTCTTCTCCGCCGCCCGCCTACACATCCGACGATAGTGAAGATGAAGACAATTTGGGTAGTCGGGATCCATTCGCATCTCTCTCCCTACCCTCGGTCCCGAGCTCAGAGCCAACGGCCCCCTCTGCCCCTGCCATACACCCCACTCTCGGTCCGGCACACAACGACCTACCTGCCGATCTAGACCTCGCACCTTTCCGCCGTCTGGTCGGGCGAGAGCTAGATGTGCGCAGACTGGACGAGCCTTCCGAGCGGGAGCGAAGCTTTGACGGTTTCCCCTCTGTCCCCGGTAGTGGCTCCAAGTCTCACCCTTCCAGAGAGGGACAAGTGGAAGAAGAAGAGGAGGAGACATTTTGCTCCATCTGTTCAGCCCCTCCCACGCTCAGCTGTTTCTCTCCACGCGACCCGGAGGACGAAGGATGCATGGGCGATGTGTACTGCTCGGAGTGTTGGGTGCAGGCGCACGAGGGCATGGAGAGGGAGGAGTTGAGGGAGCATCGTACGAGGGACCTGCCGAGGAAGGGAGGGGTAAACAGAGGCGGGCCGAAGAGGAAAGGAGGGAGTGGAGGAGGGAGGAAGCCATTGGCTGCTTGAGGCATGGGGAGCTTCACTGCTACAGGTCGGTGTGGTGTGCGGACTAATCAATGAAGCTATTGTACATTGCAAGATACTTGTCGCAAGGAAGGAGCGTCATCGCCACCCCAGCGTCCACCAGATATGGCCCCTCTCATCAGACCTTCCCAGTCCCTTGACCTTCGGCAACTCTACCCTGCGGATCACTCTCAATCTTGCATCCCTTCCCACACTTCCATCCTCTCCTCCTCCTCCTCCTTCTTCCTCCAGCTCTTCAGCGACCTCTCCAAAAACCCTATCCGTCCCCTGTACCAATCCCCACTCGCCAAACCTCCCCTCGGAGCGTCGCGCGTTGAGAACATGAGCTCTTGCGCTCTTTGTCCGGGCTAGGAGGGAGGACATGGTCGCATATAGCCAGGAGGCATGTTCGCGCGCGTATACTACGTCGGCTGCTAGGAGGAGGTCGTAATGTGGATGTTGACCAGCGGCTAGTAGGGCAGGCGAGGAGAGGAGGCCGGGTGTGGCGGAGTCTCCGTCACTTGGTTGGTAGTAGACGGACCAGTCGAGCGCATTGACTCCTAGCTCTACTCGCGACGAGAGACCGGTTCTGTTGGCATCGACATTTCTACGCAAATTCTCCAGCACGCGAGGATGATAGTCCGTGAGGATGACGGTGTTCTTCTCCTCCCCAGCTCCGTCCGAGATAGAAGCGGAGGGGGGACAGAGGGACGAAAGGAGCTGAGCGCAGACTATCCCTACCAGTCCGGTACCAGCACCCAGCTCGGCCACCCGCAACGGCCTCGACCGCTCTGATTCGCGTAGCAGAGAGTGAATCTCCCCTGGTCGTGTGACGAGGAGGTCAGACAGGACGATGGAGGCTGCCCATGTCTGTACGCCCACGGCAGACGAGGCTTCCAGCGAGGCGGGGACGGGCGCGTTACTGTCTGCCGGACCATCCTGGTCAGAGGGAGCTCCTTCAGAGCCCTCTGCCTGCGAGGGCGGTAGTGGTGCATCGATGAGAGTCACCACGAAGCGGCGCTCTCCTAGCGCAACTGTCCCATCGACTCTCTCCTTGTCTCTGTCCCCAGTGCTTGAGCTTGTCCCATTTGGAACGGCAGGCTTGACCTTAAGCACGGCATTCGGCCTTGCAAAATCAAAGGGAAAGCAGAAGACCCTCTCCATAGGCTCTACATCCTCCAACCCACGTCCGCCAGAGCTCTCACCATCCCCTCTTCCTTGGTCCATCGCCTCAGAGCGTGTAATATCCTCGAGAAGCTGGGCAGACTCGTCGACAAGGAAGCGCTGTAGCTCCTCGAAAGTCGCAAAGGTTGGGGTAATCGAGCCACTTGGCTGGGCACTGAGGCTGCTGCTGCTGCTGCTGCTGCTGCTGCCGCTGCTAGTTCCTTCTCCCTCCCTCTCGCTCCCGGCTCCGTTCTCCAACCAGCTCAAATCGCTCACAACCAATCTATTCAGCCACCCTACAGCAAGATCTCGCTCGTACGTGTCCAGCAGGAGCAGTGCACGATCGTACTTCTGCAGAGTGTGGAGGGCGAGGAGGAGGGAGGAACTGCTAGGTTGTCGTCTGAGAGGCGGGAGGAAGGAGGAGGGTGGGAGAGCTGCGCTGGAGGAAGAGGAGACGGTGGTAGGAGGAGGAGATGCCATTGTCGAAGAGGTTTGACAAGGCCGTATCGTAATGAGAAAGACGAGGTGAGAGGATGTACGGTACGAGGTAGAGTGCGGTACGAGAAGATCTGTGCAGTGGAGTGCAGTGCAGTCACGGAAAGGGGCAAAAAAAGAAGCGCATCGGAGCAGCAAAAGGAGTCGAAAGTTGAATTTGGAAAAGAAAAAAGTGGAGCAAACAGCGACGGTGAGATGCGAAGTACAGAAATCGAGCAAAAACAAGGTAGCGACGACAAGTACGACTACTTGTGGTAGGGAATGGCGTTTGTCCTCAGTTGAAGCTCATCGTAGAGGAGACTGCGGATGTTCTTCATACCGTCCTTGATGAGTGCCATCATATGCTTTGCTGCCTGCCTCTCATCCAGATCCAGCATGAATCGTCCTTGGAATCGATCCATCGTTGGTTGTCCCTTGAAACTGGGCAGACCAGTGTTCATCATCAAGCTGCACACCTGTACAATCTGCCTTGCGTAAGGTCTCGCAGCCAAAAAGGCCTTGACGCACAACTCGCTGAACATCTTGAAGCCCTGTGAGTCGACTCCACCCATGACATCGAGGAACTCCTCTGTAAGCTTAAAGGAGTAAGGCTCAAAGTGCATTCCACCAGGTCCAATATCGAAGAGGAATCCAAAGTCGATGTGCACCAAGTGACCCGTATCGTTGATCATAATGTTACCATTGTGACGATCACGGCACTGCAGCAAGTGACATGCCACACTGTACGCTGCCATGGACTGGATAAAGTTCATGCGGGCTTTTTGGAAACTGACCGAGTCCACATTGCCGAATTTACCGACGAAGAAGTCGAGGAGAGAGTTGATCTTGCTCCTTCCCATTTCATCTCGGGAGGTGGCATTGGGCACTACATCGATGACACCGCATCCAGGACCAGTGGCGGTGACTCGGTATGGGTAGAGGTAGGCGTCTAGACCAATGGCAGTGTAGATGACCTTGAACAAGGCAATGCACTGCAGCGCGAGCACGTCTTGACGACAGTCGTCTCCGACCTTGAAGATGGCAGACTGCCAAACATCGACGCCGACGGTGCCCTTGTCGTCTCCCTCATCTGCCTCATCCTCACCCTTGCCGCCAGCGGGAATATCTCGGTGTACCTTGAAGGTGGCCATGAAGGGTGCTTTAGCGTGAGACTGCAGAGGCCTTCCACTTCTTCGGTCCAGGTCCACAACCACACCATCAGGGTTCGACGGCAGGTAGACTCCAGGGTCGACCTTGATCTTGTCCATCTCCTCATCGATCTTCGCCTTCTTCTCCGGCTTGCTCTTCTTGATGAAGGGCTTGAGCTTGCCAGAGATCGAGGTGACCTCGTTGAAGAAGCCAAACTCTCGGTCATAGAAGTCTTGCGCTTCACCGCTCAGTGCCTCGACGATCAGGTCGGTCATGCGGTCCAGTGTGGGCTTCATCGGATCAGGCACCTCTCCATCATCGTCCTGGTACGAGTTGGCCTTCATGTTCCACAGAATCTGATGACAGAACAGCTGCGACACTTTTGACGTCTCGAAGATGAACTGCTCCACATAGCCGAACTTGTCATCTCGCAAAGCCTGCACAACCTGGGGGACGTAGAAGAAGGTGAGATCGACGGGGTGGTGCTCGAGCGTCCTCATGGCATACTGCAGCAGGACTCCATTGTTGCCAAAGACTGGCTGGAAGAGCCAAATTGCTTCAATCGGCGAGACTGGGCCCCAGTAGAGGAGCCACTTGAGGTCACTTCCTTCCCTCAGGGCCATCTTCAGGTGGTCCTCCAGCAGCAGGTCAAGGGCATATCCACTCTTGAACACGCGCCATGGCTCGCTTCTGATCAGTTTGCCCGCCTCTCTTTTCAAAGCTGCCGACTTGTACCTGACGGGCAACTGGGCAAGCACGGTCGGGCTGATCTTCCAGGCCGTGTAGGCCACTGCTTCCCACTTGGCTTCGGTCATGCTTCTGGCCATTTCGCCTGCAAAGTCGGTACCGCGGCCTGCTTCGCCCAGCGGGTTGACCCAGACCGAGATTCTTCGGACCTCATCCTCGATCAACAGCTGCAAGAGTGTTCTGCGATCGACGACTTCACGAGCGCCTGCAGCAAGTGTCGTTTGGTTCGGCAACCTGACCTGGTCGAGAGCATTGGGGCCAGTGAAGGAGGTAACGACGGCGCTAGCCCTGGCAGCATCGACCTTGACTGCTTCCAGTAGCTCTTTCATTACCTGCATCTCGGCGGCAGCTTCGATGCGACTGGCGCCATATGTGAACTGCGGGATAGTGCTGAACCACTCGAAAGCGACATCGTACAGGGCCCTCCTCAGCTGATGCTCCACAAGCATGTCCAATCGCGAGCTCTGTACAACTCGTAGTCCAAAGAGAAGCAGGGTGAATCTGACTTGCCTCGAAAGAGGGTGTGTCGTCATCCTGCCTTCGTGGACGGCAGTACAAGACGTCTGGAGCATCTGGATCAGTGCATAAACCATTGTCGGATTGCGGTATCGGAAAGCCTGGAAGCGACTCGAGATGAGCTGCAGCAGGGTGAGATGAGGGCTGAAGAGCCTCTTGGCCTTCTCCCTCTCTCTGACGATCTCTTCTCGATCAAAGGCGGACATCTCGGTCTTGCGGAGCAGTGCATGTCCACCAGTCAATGCGCTGGTCTGGAAGATACCCTTGTGCAGTCGCACAGTGTCATTCCAGCCCAGAGCGATCTCTACCATGACCTTCGTCTCGAGCTCAGGGCGCTCGCCGATGATCCAAGACCAGACGTGGCTGGCGACCTGGATTGCCTGAGGAGTGAAGATTCGAATGGGGATGGCCACGAGATGGTGAAGCAGCTCATGGTCTGGCTCAGGGAGAGCGACAGCCACGGCGGCAGATCGGTAGAGCAACCTTCGCAGCTCGCCGAACGGCAGGTGACGATGGCCTGCAGCAAAGTTGCCAGACACTTCCGCCAATTGCTGCTTGTACGAGGCGACATTGGATGGCGCGAACTGATACTCTGGGTCTTTCTTGAGCTGAACCATGGTCTCGCTCAAGGCCAGATGGATGCCTGTCATCTCTCCCAGGTAGGTGCTCTTCGAGCTCAGCTCGCCGACGAAAGCGCTGCTCGCATCCACTCTCCAGCCTCCGAGGGAAGGCAAGTGCGAGTCATGAGCACCACTGCTTACCGCTCGGGCATAGTCGATGGCAATGCTCTTGCCCATGTCCGAGGTGCCAGGCAGAGTTTCGTCGTCGAAGGACCCTAGGTATCGCTGCAGAATGGACTGAAGCTCGACGGGTGCTCTAGCGAGAGCCATCGACAGGAAAGCCCTAGTGCGTTTCAGGAACTCCGAGAGGATCTCCTCGCGCTGACTGTACGAGTCAGAGAGCTCAAAAGATACATTGGCCCTCTTCGAGTGAAATTGATATACCGGCGCAAACTCATCGCGGTATTGCCCCTCGCAACCTCGTCGTAAGAGAGTCAACATCTCAAGGAGAGTGCAGACGACATCCTGGTCGCACACCAGTGAAGGGAAAGCGGCAAAGAGGCGATCCAGGATCTTGCGAGACACAAGTCGAACCTGCTCCACCCTGTGACAGGAGCCGAGGAGGAGATTCTGAATCTCCATCGAGACTCGTGGGTCCACAGAGTGAGCACGAACCTGAGGCGAAAGGTCGCTAATGAACGAGGTGGTGACCTCGTCAGCAATGGCCTTCATCGAGCCCAGCAGCGAACTCGTGTTCAATCCTTGGTTAACAAAGTACCACAGGATCATCGAAGGCCGACCCATAGCGCTTCGCGTGCACTCGAGGTGATAGATGGTCGCTAAGAAGATTAGCTGAGGTAGACCGAGAGAGCGCAGCTCACTGCTGTGGCTTGGAATGAGATTCTGCAGTGTCTTGCGCTGCTTGTCAATCGTCGCCGAGGGGAAATCTGCCCGAAGTACCGAGTTGTACTGCAGGTCCGACTCGAGGTAGTTGACTGCCGTCTCGGGCACCAGAGTTGGTGTCTTCATCGAGATGGTAGCGAGCGAGTCTGCGATGGAGGACTCTGGTGCAGCATCGGCAAAGCCGAAGATGACGGACAGGAACCACATGTTACGGAACAGAGACACCTCCTCAAGCGTCGGGTTGAGCTGAGGGTTGATGTCGTTGTGAGAGAGGACAGCGGCGATGGCAGGCAGTAGGCCAGCCAGATCAGCACTGACCTCGGACTGCTCCGATCGGCTGCCTCCCTTCGAGCCCTGGAATGCCAGACCCTTTTCGGTAAAGAGCTGCAGGAGCTCGATGAGGTAAAGCTGCTTCCTGCCAGAAGTGGCAAAGCGATCTTCATCTTCTTCGCTGCCCTCCTGACTCTTACTCTGCGTGGAGCGATCCTCGTCTTCCTTGAGAGCACCCAAGCCTTGAGCAAGCTTGAACTGCGCAGCCTGAATGGCGGCACCAGTACGACGGTTGGCACCACCACTGATGGCGCTTCGCGAGACCGACGTCAAAGCTCGAATGACATCTACGAAGGAGGACTTGGGCCCAGCGAGAGCCAGAGGAACAATGTTCCAGAGAATGGCAGCTTCGCTCTCGTCGTCGGCACTCCTCAATCGTTGGAGCAGCATCGACGTAGCAAGACCTGTCAATTCTGGTCGGCCAATCTCGAGCGCCAGTCGAGATACCATGGCAATAATGCTGAGGTTGATGATCTGCTTCTCTTCCTCGGTGCGGCTGGCGAAGAGAGCCTGCGTCTGGGAATGACCGAGAGAGAAGTCCCTACCGGTGACTGCTTTGGACAGCCCGCTACGTACGGACATTGCGCCGCCAGCGTTGCCAGCGGCGCCTGCCGCACCCCCTCCAGTGTCTCGGCCGAGGTGGTTGAGAAGAGCGTACATAGTCGAGACTGCCAGGTCATCCCCGGGAACGATGGTGACGCAAGTAGCCAGACACTTGGCAGCCGACTCTAGAACAGGCGTGGTGTCTCCGTTCGGAGTCAGGAACATGGGCTGAGGTGACGCAGCGAAGCGACGCAGCTGAGTAGTGAGAGATCCGACAAGCGAGGGGAAGTTGCGGACCAGGATGCTAGCACTCTGCAGAGCTGCTCCCTGAAGAAGCGGGTCGATGATGACGGCAGACTCACTCAGGAGCGCTCGAACACGTACGACAGTGTGAGCATCGAGCGGGATGTCGCTGAGCTTGGAAACTGCAACGGAAGCGAGAGCGCCGAGCTTCAGTGCCTCGCTCAAGATCTCGAGAGCATAGACGTCCGAGAAGAGCTGACTGTGCTTGGTACCCTCGCTCTCAATGAAGCGCTGAATGTCATGGTAAGCACGGCTAGCCAGATGGAGCGCCGATGATGCGCCATGTTCAGGATCCGTGAGACTTTCTGGGTGACCATTGCCGAATGCAGCGGATCCATTCGAACCTATGAGCGGTAGTGATGCTAGAACGCCCCCACCGTTGGTACCGTTGGTACCATTGGTAGTAGGAGCTTTGACATCGTCGCCTAAATCGACGGCATATCGGTGCAGACCAGCCCAGGCCTTGGTTGTAGCCATACCCTCCTGTCCCACGGCAGGGTCATGGCCATCATGGTGCTGCTTGACGTCGACATCGAACCTGTCTGGACGAGGTGCTCTCGCTGGGTCCAATTCGTCCTGTCGAAGTCCCATCTTCTGGTAGTCAGCAAAGCTCTTGATACGAGGCTTGGCGTGTGAGGCCAAGGCCTGGGCCAAGACAGAGCTCAAGATCTCGAGGGCACTGCACAAGACAAAGTGACCAGAGAGCGGTCGTTCCGCTCGACGGTACATGGAGAGCAGGGCGAAGCGGTAGGCAAAAGCAGGATCGTCCATGAGGTCCTGCCCCTGACTGTAGGTAAAGCCACCATCGAGGAGAGCCTCATCAGGCAAGATCTCAGTGTCGTCTTCATCATCTCCTGAGAAGAAAGTCTCGATGCTGCCCTGCGAGCGGGTGTCGGCCTCTCCGGGCTCAGTATCATCAGGATCGCGACGTCGGATGGTAGCATTCTTCTGCTTCCTGCGAGTAGCTCTGCCTCCCTGTGCTCTGGCGGCCTGCTGCTCAGGCAGAACGAGGAGCACGTGGTTCAGACGCTGAACAGTCTGAGCCGTGCCCGTGATGGGAGTGACGGCAGTGACCAGTCGGGCAAACTCGATGAGCTCCCAGTTGAAGATGTTGGAGGAGAGAGCTCGGTACAGACCATGGAGCATGGGTACGAGGCGAGTAGCAACCACATGTGCGTCTCCCGTAGTTGCGCCCAGCCCCAACGCAAGGTTGCGGGCGAGGGTGACCACACCATCTACACAACGAGCGCGGTGCTGAGGCGCCTTTGAGGCAATGTAGAGGAGGCTCTTGCAAAAGGAGAAGGCCAGCTCGTCTGCCAGTGGCCACTCATCCCAGGTAGCCATACTCTCCTCAATCTCAGCAGTGCTGAGGAGAATGGTGTTCCTGATGAGCTCATTGAGAACAGATCGCAGATGAGTATCATTGGTCTCATCGATGGTACGAGGGGTTGACCTCGAAGCGGCTGCGATGGAGGAGGCAAACCTGGCCAGACTGATCTGGGCATGGGCAGCCGAGGTAGACAGCCATTCGGGATTGTTCTTCTTGGAAGACGAGGGCTGCAAGGCGGCGGCGTGCTCATCTAGGAAGGTCTTGAAGTCATCGCCGGTGACGCCTTGGTCTCCTGCGCGGATGGAGTCGGATAGATTGGCAGCCAGATCGTTGAGGATCAGCTGGTGAGTGGGAAGGTCGAGGCTGAGAAGATAATAAAGAGAGAACGATCAGTCAGGAGCTGTCGGCGTAACCTCCGCCCTGAGACATACGTACAAGTCCATCTTGATGGCTGGCCTCTCTTCTGGGGGATATCGAGTGTTCTCAGCGTATGCAAAGGTATGAAGGATACGTCTGCAAGGATGTAGTAGAGCTCACCAAAGGCGAAGGCAATGGTATGAGGAGCGGGAGGACACTAGGGTCAAGCGAATCCGTCTTGGATGTGGACCGAGGCGAGCGGGGCACCACGCCGCGCAATGCGGGGAAGCGAGCCAATGCGTGAAAATCAAAGCCAGGCAGGCGCACGTCAGACAGCTTCGCTCCACTTGACTTCGCCCGTCAAGCAGAGCAGTCCGCCAAGCCTAGGTGCTCATCCTACAAGTCAAAGCATCAATTGCAACGAATCATATGATACTGGTGATGTGGAGTGGAGATGAAATTCCCTGCAGTTGCCTGCTCGCTGCCCTTTCCCCCCTCGCAGAGCTGTCTCTTTGCTCGTTGCTGCTCGCCAATAGCTTTCCCCCCGCCGCGCCTAACCAAACCCCACTTTAGTAGTCGTCTCCTCTCGACACAATCTCTGTTCGTTCGGAAGCCAAAGAGTATCGGTCAGTGAGGTGAAACTTGGGCAGATCTTCTTTCTCGCACCTCGCTCCGAATCTAGACTCACCTTTTCCAGTTGGCTTCAGCAGAATGGTGTGCTCGAACTGAGCCGTTTGAGCTCCCACGCCAGCAATGTCTGCCAGAGGTGGGTAGTCTTGCACGATGCCTTGCGACACGAGGTGCTTAAGTCCAAGCAGGTAGTTCTTCTCACCCACTCGATCCAGGTACCTCCTGCAGAAGGGCAGAGTACCGAACTGCTTGTTGATGGTATGCAGCAGCGGCCTTGCGCTAGCCACCCTCAGGGTAGGGTTGCCCACATTGGCCCTACGGGCATAGTGTGAGCAATCGCCACAGTCTACGACGTATCCCTTACCAGTGGAGCCGAAAGTCTCAATGGCAAAGTATTCTCCTTCCTCCATCTTCGTCGTCATCTGAGGCTGGGCCACAATGGGCACACTCTTCTCCTTGTGGATAGTGTAGCGACCGATGTTGTGCCCGTTGAGGTTCTGTACACACTTGACTTGATGCATCTTGCCATTGACCTCGTACTCGTGCGATTCCATGGTCTCCTGAATCGCCGCTCCGATTTCGCCCAGACGAGCATCAATTCCGGCCTCGCGAACACCGGTCTCAGTGGCTGCACGCACCGCCTCGAGGAGAGGGTTGTGCGTCTCTTCGAAAGTCAAAGTGAATGCAGAGTCACAGATACGACCTTGGACTTGTACTCCGATGTCGACCTTCAAGACGTCTGATTTTTGCAGGACTGGCAGGAGGGTAGGAAGAAGAGCAGGAAGGGGGGAGATGAGCAAAGGTCCGACACAATCGACGTTGGGGCAGATCAGACAATACTCACTCCTCTTGTCTCCGGCATTGGGAGTGTAGTGGGCTGCAACCTCGTTCAGAGATAGACCAGTGGGGAATCCCATTCCAGCAGCAAAGGGGTTCTCCGGATCCTCCTCTGCAAGCAGCCTGACCTTGCCCTCGATGAGCTCTGCAATTTCCGTCATCGACATTCCGGGTTGAATGGCCGATCGAGCGTACCTACGCACTTGACGATGAGTTTCGGCTGCCTTTCGGATATGAGCGTAACTGTTGCCCTCTCCTTCCTGCAGCAGACGTTCGCGCTCCTTTCGCTCAGCAAGGGTTGTCCTCTCTCGGTTGCTAAGGAAGTACAAGAGCAGGCGGATTGATTGTAAGCATAAATCCAATCATAAGCATGATCTCTCAAAGTTTTTGTCGATTCGGATACTCACTCGTCCCACTTGCTCTCATCGTAGGGCACCGTCTCTCCCTCTGGGTAATCTCCGGTGGGCCAAATCTTGGAGAGACCAATGGTGGGCTCAGGCTCGGTCTGCTTGAGTCCTGTACCGTTGGCAATCTTCTCCTTTTGAGCCTTTGCCTTCTTCTTTGCAGCTCCAGACTTCTTCTTCTTCTTGTTCTTCTTCTTTGCGGCCGAGTCTCCTCCCTCGCCAGCTACTCCACCTTCGCCCTCATCTTCGTCTCCTTCGTCTTCGGAGTCTGCTTCAGGGTTGGGTGCGCTGCCATTACCGTTGGCATGTCCGTTGCCCGTCTCCAAGGAGGCAGCTGTCAGCTTGTCGGAGATGGCTCCGTCTGTGGTTGTGGTGGCAGGCATGCTGTGCAAGTCGTGGTGGACGATGGGTGCGGGAAGAGGAGGTTGCTAGGACGACTGACTCGCCCCCACGCCCAAAATTTGGCTGGGCTTGGCTGGGCGGGGAGTGTTCAGGCGCGGCGCTGGTCTCGGCTGAGCCTCAGCCAGGGTCGCGCCTCTTTCCGCTCTACGCCGACAATCGCCGCCGACGCCTCTTCTTCCAGAGCAACACCTCGGCCTCTACTCCCCCCAGTCACCACTGCCATCGACCACCAATCGCCATCGAAGGAGGGTAACTTACCAGGCTTGCACTCTTCCCTCTTCCACAACCACCTCGTACACAATGGCATCCCCTGCCGACACCCCGCCGGAGTCGGCCTCGCCCTCGTCTTCCTCGTCCGGCCCACATCCCGCTCACATCACCAGCAAGCTCCAGAACACACCGCCTTCTTCGCCCTTCTGGTCTCTCGAGTTCTTCCCACCCAAGACAAGCCAAGGTTCATCCAATCTTCTCTCTCGTATCGCACGTATGTCATCCGACCTTAGACCCAGCTGGCTCAATGTCACCTGGGGCGCAGGAGGTACGACAGAGGGAAAGAGTCTCAGCCTGGCAGGCAGTTGTGTGCATGGCGCATGGGAGGGCGAAACGATCAACGGCGAGCCCCTGACCGAGTGGCAGGGTGGTTTGGACGTCTGTCTGCATCTCACTTGTACCAATGTGGAGAAGCAAAGTCTAGACCAGACGCTGCGTACGGCTCGCAAGCTCAACATCCGCAATATCCTCGCCCTGCGTGGAGACCCACCCAGGGGTGAGGAGTACTGGATCGCTTCCGATTCACAGTTCCAGCTGGCAACCGACCTGGTCCGCTATATTCGTCAAGAACATGGAGACTTCTTTTGCGTTGGTGTAGCCGCCTATCCCGAAGGCCACTGCGACTCCATCGAGCGTGATGTTGCCAGGGACGTACAGCATCTCAAGCTCAAACAGGAGGCCGGAGCTCAATTTATCATTACACAACTCTTCTATGATGTCGACGTCTTTGTTCAGTGGTACAAGCAATGCAGGGAGGCTGGTGAGTATGCACAACGAAAGAGAGCCATCGCGGAGAAAAGCGCCTTCGGCTCACCCCAGGCCCTGTCCTACCCATGTCAGGTATCACAATTCCGATTCTGCCCGGGATCATGCCAATTCAGAATTACCAGTCTTTCCGGCGAATGACCAATCTTTGCAAGGCTACAGTGCCCGAGGAAGTCTTGTTAGCTCTAGAGCCAATTCGGGTGAGTCTTGTGAAGCCGCGTGCCTTGGTAGTATGATCTCGCTGCTGACCCCTTCTGTACACCTTGCCTACTAGTTTGACGATGCTGCCGTCAAGGACTACGGCGTCCAATTGGCTATCCGGATCATCGCACGTCTCTACCTCGAGACCGACATCCGCGGTTTCCATCTATGTACGCTCAACTTGGAGAAGAGCGTGAGAAGAGTCCTGCAAGGGCTGGGATGGGTCCGGGATGAACAACCTACTCGGTCCTTTGAGGAAGGCCTCGGCAAGGGTCCGGTGGCAAAGGTCAAGGCTATCGAAGGTATGAAGGCGAGAGCGGCCGCCATCAACGGAGAATCTTCTCGGTCCGAGCCCATCGACTACCGTACTGCTACACAAGGGGCACTACAGCGCGCTACATCGAAGACCTCGCAAGCTCTATACTCTCCAGCTATTCCGCCAGACGGAGACGCCACTGCACACACCATCGGCAATGCTTCCCACCTCACACCTGACTATGTCCAAAACACCGCGACCACGTCTGCTTCTTCCACAAGTTGGGACGAATTCCCCAATGGTCGTTACGGAGACGCCCGGTCGCCCGCCTTTGGTGAGATTGATGGGTACGGCGTTTCGCTCAAGGTGCCTCCGCAGGACGCCCTGAGGTTGTGGGGCACACCGGTGGAGGAAGACGACATCAGCCTCATCTTCTCCAAGTACCTTCTGGCAAGACTCGCCTGTATACCCTGGTGCGACGCACCGATTTTCGACGAGACGCTGGCAATTCGCAACTGGCTGCTGGCGCTGAATCTGCCAAAGAAGGCGAAAAGCTCGTCGTCGAGCTCCAGCTCGAGTCTGTCCGGTAGGGGCTGGTGGACGGTAGGATCCCAGCCGGCCGTTGACGGAGTGCCCTCTTCAGATCCCACGTATGGGTTCGGACCAAGAGACGGAGGAGGCTACGTCTACCAGAAGGCCTTTGTGGAGATTTTCGTTGATGAGGCTGACAAGGAGTGGATCAGAGAGAAGATTGAGCAGGAGGGAGAGGGGAGACTGAGCTTCTTTGCTGGTAATAGGAAGGTGAGTGCGCGCGTAAGGGAAGCAGCCTACAAGTCCGATGTAGACATCATCTGACCACCCCGGACCTCCTCCCCACTCTGCTCCACATCCACCCCTACCACTCCACAGGGCGACTACGAGTCCAACCTCTCCCTCGGTGACGTCGACGCCGTCACCTGGGGTGTTTTCCCAGGCAAAGAAATTGCCCAGCCTACAATCATCGAAGAAGAGTCCTTCAAGGCCTGGCGAGACGAGGCATTTGAGATCTGGGGTGAATGGGAAATGCTCTTTGCAAAAGAGACCAAGACGAGGGGATTGTTGAGGGGAGTGGGAGAGGGGAAATGGTTGGTCACTGTTGTTGTGAGTCTTTCTTTTCTTTTGACAAGGACAGAATCTGAGGAGCTGAAGGGAGGAATTTGTCTCCGAGGCTGACCACCTTCTCTTCCTTTGGCCTGATCTGCCGCTCCATCCTCATCCCTCACAGCACCACGACTTCAAGGATCCAACGGCTCTGTGGCGCTTCCTAGGCTGCGAAGAGCACCTCCCGACCGACGAGGATGTGGCTCGCCTCGAACAGGTGTGGGCATAAGTAAAAAACCTTACCTTGAGGGATTGCTAAAGGGAAATGGGGAGACGGGGGAGTGTGAAAAGGCCGTAATCTATCCCACTACCTTCGTACTTGCAACACCATCCACCCAGACTTGATGACCCTCACTGCCCCTGTTCACGCACGCGCACGCTGATTTCGCTCCTTGTAGTGTACTTTATGCAAGCACATATATTAGCAAGAAGGAGAAAGCGTGAGAGCGTCCCATGCCTACGCCTCTATTCATCCAACAGCTGAGCATCAGTCCCTGAGTAGTGAGATGTACTTCCTCCGATTGTCCACATCTCCACCTGCACCCCTCCCACGGCATCGTCGTCCTTCCTCTCATCAGCCTCATTTCGCTGTGCCTTTTGATCTTGCATCGAGCGGGACAGACTCCCTGCTGATTTCACATTATCACGACATTCTTAAGCCTTGGGAGCCTCGCTCGGGGGCGGCAGAGGTGAGAGAACGCCTGCCTTTTCCAACACTTGTTCCAGCTCGCCCGATTGGTGCACTGAAGTTGGGTCAGGACGCAAGGGCGCAAGGTCAAGGAGTCAGTCTTGTATATTCCTAACACTCTCCGTCCGGTCCCGCACCCGAGTCTGCGTTTACTCACTGCTAAGCATGATGTCGCAACCTCCTACGAATTCACCATTAACGTATACTTGGGGAATGGTGGGCCAGCTGCTGTACTCCTTTACGCCCTCTCTGAGCTCTGGGTCGTCAAGGCAGTTATATGTCCTAGAGAAGGGAGTGATGAAAGGTGAGGAGACGCTCTTCTCTCTGCTACCTCATCCCCGCCCCTCGCCTCGGACTCACTTCATGACCTCGGGCTTGACTCCCTGCACCTCCATAATTTGGCATACCGCCCTGCTGAAACCACACATGGGCAGCTCTGGTGTGCCCTTCATGAACACCACCAATGGGTTACCCTGCACTGCCGCATCGATCTTCTTGCGCGCATCGGCGGAGAGGGCGAGGCGGAGAGAGGTGGTGTGGAAGAGGGAGCGCTGTGCTGGTGCTTGCAGCAGAGAGGAGGAGGTGGCAGGTGTGCGAAGGAGACGCTGTAAGAATAGAGAAGAGGAGAGGAGATGAGATGTCAGTATGCGGCTGAGTGACCAGGTGGCGAAGCGGGATCTGCTGCGAGGGTAGAGGGTCGGGACTCACCAGAGAGCTGGAGGCTTGGCGGAAGAGTGACATGGCTAGTAAGTGGGAAGACTGCAGCTAGTGGTAGAGGTCAAGGAGGTAGTGATAGATGGTACGAGGTCAAGGAGGGTCAAGAAGGAGTCACTTCTCCACCTCGTCGCGGTTACCAATCCCAAAATCGCCCTGGGCGGAAAGGGCCAGGCAGAGGCACTTCGGAGCCGCCGCCTCGCCTCCCTGCCGATTCCGACTTTTGGCGAGCCACACAGTCCTTCCCGCCGTACAGCCTTCCTTCCGCCTCACAAGCACAATATTGGCGGTCAAAAAGCCCAGTACCGCCCATCATGTCGCTGTCGTCTCCCTTTGATGTCGCTCGCTCCACCCACGAGGAGGCAGAGAGGTACACCGCAGCCCTCTCCTCTGTTCTCGCTACCCTGCCCTCCTCTTCGTCCTCCTCCGCCCCGCCTAGTCGCTCGACCTTGACCAATTCGCACATCGCCTCGATACTGGTAGACCGCATCGTATCGCGCAACCGCAATTTGGTCGACTTCTACAAGGATGAGACTGGTATCAGGAAAGAAGAAGTCGATCTGCTAAGTGGCAGGCCCACAGGCGGGGAGGGGAACGCTGCTGGATCCTCCTCTGCTGCAGCTGGGAGCTCAGCTACCACGTCCGAAGTTATGTCTCTCTTCTACTCGCGGCTGAATCACATCAAGTCATATCATGAGAAGTACCCTTCGGCTCCGCCAGAGATGCTCACCCTGGACATACCCGCACTGGAGAACTCCATTGCTCCCTCGACCTCCTCTTCCATTGGCGTGACCACGAGCGCAATGGATCGACTCTTCTCCGGCGAAGAGGGCTTGGGACGCTATCTAGATCTCAACGAGTACCACTCGCAGTACATCAATCTCAAAGGAGTGAAGAGATGCAATTATCTGTCCTACCTCGAGCGATTCCATGATTTTGCGAGCGAGGACGTGGCAATGGAGACGAAGCAGGGCGAGGGGTACCAGAAGCACCTGAACGCGCTGAGGAGCTATCTCGTGAGCTATCTACGGAAGATCAAGCCGCTGGAAGATATAGACGGCCTCGTCGAGGGCTTAGAGGAGGAATTTGAAGAAAAGTGGAAAGTGGGCGAGGTGAGGGGCTGGGAAGATCAAGGCGAGAGGTTCGCTTCCTCTTCCGCCTCTTCTAGCAAGACTGCCTCATCATCCACATCGACTGCTCCAGCTGCACCGATACCACGGCCGGCAGACGATACTGGTATCTGGTGCGAGGCGTGCGGGAAGTCCTTCTCCAAGCAAACGGTCTTCGATGGCCACCTGCAGGGAAACAAGCACAAGAAGGCCCTGGAGCGGATCCAGGGTGGCCCCTCTTCGAGTACCGCGAATGGGGCTTCCTCGTCCTCTTCCTCTCACAAGTCAAATGCAGCGCGCGAAGCTCTTCTCTCAAAGGGAAAGAATCTCGCAAAGCAAGAGTACATCATCTACGCCCTCAGTAAGGGTCCGCTGGACTCGCATCGCCTCGACACACGATCCAACGTGGAGCGCAGAGCAGCCTTAACGGAGCGCGAGCGCGCTGCCGAGGCCGAGGAGCTGGCCCGCCTTGCCGAGGATCCCGCTGGCGAGTCTTCCGCTCGGCGACGAGGTCAAGATGGAGGAGCCGGGGGAGCAAACCGGGCCGACGAAGACGACTCGGATGACGAGAATGGCAAGATTTACAATCCCAAGAAACTCCCTCTTGGCTGGGACGGTCGGCCGATCCCCGTATGGCTGTACAAGCTACACGGTCTTTCGGTAGAGTACTCGTGCGAAATCTGCTCCGACTTTACTTATCAAGGACGTAAGAATTTCGATCGACATTTTACCGAGAGTCGACATGCATTTGGAATGAGAGCATTGGGTTTGCCCAATACAAAACACTTTGTCGGCATTACAAAGATTCAAGATGCGCTCAAGCTTGCAGAGAAGTTGAAGCGGGCTGGGAAAGAGAGTGGGGTACTTGGTGTTGGTGGTGGTGGAGGAGGAGGAGATGCTGGAGGAGCAGCGGTTAGTTCACTTGGTGGAGGTGGTGGAGGAAGAGATGTTGAGGAGGTGGAGGATGAGCAAGGTAATACGTATTCGAGGAAGGATTATGAGCTGCTCAAGAGGCAGGGACTCATCTGACCTCACCCACTTCCTCCGATGAAGTGAGGGAGAGTGAGAGAAGGGCGAGGAAGAGCCAGGCAGCCAGGCGGGCGGGGCCGACCTTCTGTAAATCTTCTTGCCGTTGCATCGCAATAACCAAACCACCTTGCATCAATTCACACCTTAATACATTTCTGCTCCCGCAACCACGTTATCTCGTTGCAGTGAAATGCAGTGAAGAGAACCCCCAGCACCTCACCTCCCTACTCGACTCCCCTCATCTCTCCCCTCGTCTCCTTGCGCCTACCGCCTGCCGCCTCCTCCTTGCCCCCCCTTTCCCTTGCCACCTCGCCACCCCGCCTAGGAGCCAGACCTACATGACTTGATCTAAAGCCACGGCTCGTGAAGCGATGCCCCAAAGCAAGATGAAGGAGCGGCTGGGTGCAAAGAAAGAGGGACGATCCCCAGCGCACATAGGTCGGAAAAAGTATGGCGCGCAATGGTGGTGATGTGTTTGGTGATTGTCGATGAGGAAGACAGAGGAGAGCAAGGTTGGGGGAGGTTTTGATGGAGTAAGTAAGTAGGAGGAGCGAGGGAGTGAGCGAGGGAAGGAGTCGTGGGGAATAGAAAGTTGGTGAGAATTGGGAGAGGAAACAAACGGGGTAGGGCGGCTTGGGGGTTTACACATTGCCTCACCGATTCCCCGAATTGTCGACTGCCCTGGCAAAGCGGCTACTGCTGGCTATCTTGACTTGCCTGGTCCTTGCCCACCCTTCTCCCCTATCGCGTCTCCGCCCACCGTCCTAGATGCCTTTGCCAGCATGCACCTCCTCTTGATGAAGTCATCTCCTCTTGATGAAGTCATCTCCTCACTCTTTTGCGCTAGCCTTGCCCGCATCGCTCTTGGCTGCCTGGCCCTGTGCTGCGCTTGCTTGCTGCCCCTGTCCCTGTCCCTGCCCTGAGGGCTGCTGGTTATGTCCCTGTTGTTGCGGCGGAGGTGCATGTCCCCCAAAGCCATGTCCACCACCACCATGATGCTGCTGCTGCTGGCCGTACCCTTGCTGGTGGTGCTGTTGTTGCTGGAAGTGCTGTTGCTGGTGGAGATGATGCGATTGCTGATGGTGCGGCTGGTAGTGTTGCCTAGGGCCCCCTTGCATTCCCTGCGCTCCGTGCGGTGGGCCTTGTTGCGGGATGAAGCCAGCAGCACCAGGCACACCAGGTGGGGCACTGCCATATTGCACAGGCCCACTACCGGGCTGTTGTACGCCGGGAGGGTAGTACATTCCACCTGCCGACGGAGGAGGAGCCTGCGGCAGTGATGCTGGACCCTTGCCGCCGCCGGCCGCGCTGTTGTTGGTGACAGCGGGTCCAGTAGGAACATTGCCACCGGAATTGGAAGCAGGGCCGCTGCTGCTGGTTCCAAGCCTAGGTGTCGATGGTCCAGCCGGAGCCGAAGCTCCACTCGCGGGAGGAGCAGCCATTGGCAGGTACTGGGCGGGAGCAGCCTGCATATTGCCTAGCTGAGGCGAGTACAATTGCTGATACGGCGGAACTCCCTGACCTTGGAAGTGCATCTGCTGAATGTGGATTGGCTGGCCAGCTCCTTGATGATGCTGTCCATGCATGTGGTGCTGAGGACCGCCTTGAGCAAGGTGGTGAGGGTGGCCGTTCTGCTGTCCGTACTGGAGAGGTATACCTGCTCCGTAAGGCATTGCGCCTGCGCTACCTGGCGGCGGCACCATCGGCATACCACCTTGTACAACGTACTGCCCTTGCGGGAAGCGGTAGGGGCCAGGACCACCGGGCTGAGGCTGGTACACCATACCATAAGGCGAAGGAGCGTGAGGTGGAGCTGCACTGCCGGCGGCGGGGGTTCCGGGCACCATCATGTTCAGCGGAACACCGGAGGACTGACTGGATGAGATGCCCATCTGGCCGGGTTGACCAGCCTGCTGTGGATGGTGAACACCGGGATGATGAGGTCCAGCGCTATGCTGTGACGCTGGCGTCGACGGGACGCTCGAGCCTGGGTGAACTCCACCAGCTCCCTGATGGGCCAAGCCATCTTCGCCAAGGCTTCCTGGTAGTCCCAGCTGTGGGCCGCCCGACATTGGTGAAGCGACAGCCGAGAAGATTTGACGATACGACTTGCCAGTGTATGGCCAACTCGGCGTGATAGTGGTCGATTCCGCAACTTTTCCGGGCTTGAAAGGGGTGAAGTCTTCTCGAATGTGGATGGGATGCGTTGACTTCTTCAACACCTTTGTGCCAAAGAAGGGGTTGGACGCTTGCACCGCCATCGACGACGCAGTCGACACAGCATTGGCAGAATGAGGTGGAGCGGCAAGGACAGGAGCAGCGACACTGGCCGAAGCAGCTGGAGAGAACTGCTTCACAGCAGTAGGTGGAGCAGCAGAAGCCGGCAGTGTAGGGGGCCCACCGGCCCCGCCTCCAGGCGTGAAAGCCGCGGCGGCAGGGTTGAATGGCTTGAAGGAGCTGGCTTTGGCGCTCATCCTCGGAGCTGCCGCACTGCTTCCAGCTGTCGGTGAGATGACAGGCACGCCTTGCAAAGGTGCGGTCGGCTTGTCTGAGCTAGTGCCAGCTGCCACACCCTTTGCTGCAGCTGCCGCCGCTGCCTGACGAGCCTTGGCTTTCTCAGAATTGAAGGGCGGGATCTTCGGGATAGTCATCTTCGATAGGATCGCCTTTGTTTCGGCCAGCTGGGCATTCGTGCTCTTGTTGACTGTTGATGTCGCGACGTTGGCAGTCTTGGGGGCGAGACTTGTCGCGGAGGCAGCACCGGCTCCTCCGGCGGGACTTGTAACGACAGAAGCCGCGCCTCCTGCTGCTCCTCCGCCTGCTCGGCCGGCCGAAGCCGCACCGGTGGTCTGTGTGTGGGCAGTCGTAGGGCTCATGCTCTTGACGAGGGAAGGATCTCTCGGCTTCTCTCCAGCAGTTGACTTATGGATCACTTCCGCCACATCTTCAGGCATCGGAGTCTTCAGTTTGAAGCTCGATGACCAGTTCTTTAATTCGGCCAGCTTTGCCTGTTTCTCCCGTTCTGCCTTGGCCTGAGCTCCAGCAAGAGCATTCTGCTTTTCCCTCAGTATTCGCTGGCGCTCAGAGGAGACGAAATGACGGAAGTCCGACGTGAGCTTCTCATTGTTGGCAGAGGCGCTTGTGCCTGTTGGAGCAGCCTGAGCAGGAACAAAAGCTTCGGCAGTGGCGGACGGAGCTGTACCTCCCGTTGGTGTAGGCACCTTGATTGCAATACCGGGCGTGGCAGCCTGTTCACTGGGAGGCTCTACTAGCACTGAAGCGGTATTGACGATAGCAGCAGGCGGTGTGGCCTGGAGAGCGGCACCATCTGTAGTCGATTTAGCATCTTTTGCACCCTTGCCAGCGGCAGCAGCAGCCTCTGCCGCACGCCTGGCAGCAGGAGGCACATAGGCATTTGGCCCTCTCACCACCGCTCCATACTTGTCTTCCTCATTCTGACCCGAGTCATCAGCAGCGGCTTGTCCCCTTTCTTCTTGGATGTGAGGATTGGCAGAGGCTGAGCCCATGATCTCGGCCGCGAGCTTTTCGGCCCGCTTCTCTCGCTCCTTGAAGTCCTTGCCGCTACGATCGAGCTTCGTGGTATACATAGTCTCCTCGTAGTTGGACTTGATGCCGAAACGGGCCTCGTTGGCTGCAAATTGATCCCAGGCTCCTCCACTGGATCCACTGCCGTTGGTGGCATTGTTGCCGGCAGCAAAGCTTGTTTCCAGGCCAGAGTCGAGTGCAGCGAGACCAGGATCGTCGCTCCACTTTTGGAGCGTGCGACCCTCTCCAAAGGGATCAGGGCCTCCTCGAGCAGAGATCTCAACATCAGTTCGGAAGCCTGGAAGGGGAATAACGGCGTATCAGCAGGGCTCGGCCAGACCTACTATTCATAGTCTGCTCACTCACCATCACTTGTGGCCTTGACAGGCTCTCCGAGAGTCACTTCGCTAGCCTCGACACCATTGAGCTCAGGTCCTTTGATGACGAGGGAAGGAATTGGAGAGCCCAGAGAGCCATCGCCTTTGAGCTCCTGAGCATAGGTGAGAGCGACACCGAGCTCGCTACCCTCGATTGTAGTGGAATGAAGGATGCCCACGTACTTGGGACCAGACTGAGTCTTCACAGTGACGGTGTTGCCGACGAGGCTGAGGATGACAAAGTTGACCCGATCCTTCATCTTGGCCTGTGAGCTGTTATCTGCATTGTGAGAGCCCGAGGCAGGGCCTGATGCTTTGCCGAGGGAGGGAAAGGCAGTGACGGCAGCAGCCGCAGAGGCGTTTTGGCTATTGTTGTGCTGTTGTTGCTGGTGCTGCTGTTGCCTGGGTGTACTGCCGTTGAGCTGAGGAGAAGGAGAGCCCCAGCCGCGGGGTCCAGATGACTGTCCACCTCCTCTATTGCGCCCGGTGTTGACGGAGGAATTGTTGCCAGACATGTTGGAAGAGGCAGAGCTGTTGGACAGACGGGGTCCTCCTCCGCCGCTAGCTCCACCTCCTCTACCTCCTCGATAGGCCATTATGGTAGACTAGAGATAGGAAGGTGGGCAATGAGAGTATTTTGTTGGTGCCTGAATATGGCTGGGGTATGATTGAGTAGATCCAGACGCCGGAGCGTGAGGAAAGTGACGAGGTGGTGATTGGGGATGCCAAGGAGTGTGCTACTACGCGAGCGAAGGATCTGACCTCGGTGCGAGCGGTTGCTTGAGCTCCGCTACGACCAAGAAGGACGAGGGATGAGGGGAGGACGGTGAGGCAAAGGCGGGGAGAGTCTCAGATTGCCATCGCCCGCGGCGAAGTGCTTGTGCGTCTACAGGGAAGAATCGGGCGGCTGCAGGCACACCACTCCAAGGAGAGCCGTGGAAGGGGGGCAGAGTAGGAGGGAAGGAAGATCGCTGCAACAGTGTGCAAAGCGTGACCTTCTTTGCCGTCTTCGTCGACGTCGTTGCCTCCAAGGTTGTGACTGGGAGGAGCAAGAGTGTGCTGGGCAGGGATAGGAGGAGGAGGAGGGACGAGGATGCCCTCTGTCTCTGGACGGTGATGGTAGACTGACTGGCCGGCGTCTGCGGGGGCGAGTGGCCAGGCGTCTGCAGTCCATGCGCAAGGGCGGCGGGGATTGAATTCTCACCACCCATACGCGGACGGACAAGGGCGTCCAGGGCGGCCTGAGCGCAGCAGACGGCCGACGTCTGCCTTTGCCGCGTTGCGTGCCTCTGTCCGTCGTCGCTACCAGCCTCGATTGACTTCTTCCGATCCGCTCCACATCCATCATGGCGACAGCATCGCCCTCGGGCTCAGAGCAGAAGCTCCAGTCCACGCCCTCGGGCATCCCACAAGCTCCCTTCATCGAGGACGTTGAGTCGCACCTCGGCGGACCAGATGTGCCCGTACAGGCCACTCTGCAGAAGTTCCAAGAGGCGCTTCAGAAGTACAAGATCATGGAGTCGTCAACCTTTTCACGGTCCAAGAGCCTGCAAGAGAAGATCCCTGACATTGAGAAGACACTGGCCATGGTCGAGCATTTAAAGGAGCTGAGAGAGGAGGGAAAGGGGATGGAGACGAGGTTCGAGCTGCACGATACCCTCTACGCTTCTGCGGAAATTGAGCCTGTGGATGAGGTGAATCTTTGGCTAGGGGTGAGTATCACCGAAGACGGATGGATGTAGTCTGCCAGCCTTCACTCACGCATACACTCGCGCTGCAGGCAAACGTCATGCTCTCCTACCCATTGGAAGAAGCCATCACACTTCTTTCCTCGAAGCTCAGTACAGCGCAAAAATCACTCAAATCGGCAGACTCGGACCTGGACTTCTTGAGGGATCAAATCACCACAATGGAGGTCAATATTGCCAGGACACACAATTGGGACGTCAGGCGGAGGAGAGAAGGGTGAGTAGAAGTGAAGGATGTAGGGAGTCGGGTCGCATGAGGGCGAGAGGGAAAAAGGAGCTGATCTCCCAACTTCTTGCATTGACTCGCGCAATCGACAGACGCACAACAGGCAAGCAGGACAAGGAGGACGACGATGAAGACGATTCGTGAGGCATACATCAATGTTACAGTTGCAGCAAAATCACATAGCATAGCAGACATCCCCGCGGGCAAGCCAATCCGGTCACACGATTTCAGTCTCCTCCCCTCTCTCCACCCAGTCTGCTCCCTCCGAGGGCCCTCTCAATCACTGAAACCCTCTCGGCACTCTCAAACCTCCTCACTCTGCCAGATCCACCCTCCAGCTCCTCAGCCACGCCTCTAGTGCGAGTCCACTCTGTGCCTCTCCTCTTGACTGTGCAATTGGGCGAGTCCAGCAGGCGCGCGAGGGAGTTCAGTCGTTCTAGAAAAGCGCCGGTGATGCGGTCATCGCGGGCCAGGAAGTAAGGTGGGAGAGGGGAGGACAGGTCCTCCAGCAGCGAGGAGTCCACCGAGGCGGAAGAGGCAGAGATAGCAGAGACTTCCTGTGAGGTGAGCCTGACGACTTCCCACAAAGCCATCAAGACTAGATCCCCCGTGGCATTCTCCACGAGATCATGCACTGCCGCCACTCTCTCCCTCTTCTTGAGTCCCTCATTGACGAACTGCAGAACGTACGTCCTCGACTCGTTTGTAGGCGAGTGCGTCGAAGAGATGATCATTGAGGATCCAGGGCGGGAGGAAGAGGTGCCGTAGAGGGAGTGGATGGAGTTGCGTAGCGAAGAGACGGAATCGTCTATGAAAGCAGCTCCACCGGAGATGAGCAGCACCTGCACGTAGGAGGCAAGGAGGCCGCTCTGTGAAGTGGCGAGGGAGTGACTGCAACGATATTAGACGGACAGGCATCTGCGTCAGCGAGGGAGCGACGCAATGCATGCGACGATACCCTGGTCATACTCACTCGACAGCAAGCTTGAGGTTCCCCCTCAACTTGCGCAATCTGCCCATCGTCCTCGGATCATATTCCATCCTCCTCTTCTTTCCCGCTCCTCCCGCTGCTCCTCCCTCAATCGCGTTCGCCAGCTCGGCCATTTCCTCTGGGTCAGGCAGCGAATTGACGAATTTAGAAAGAGCTCCTGTGAGCACAATCTGCGTTCCAGCCCACTTGGGACCGAGCGAAATGGCATACCCTAGGGGCGTCTGAGCTGGAGCGGAAGCTGATGCACCGGGGGCAGAATCGATCAGCAGGTCAAAGTTGCTATTGCGGATCGCGATGATCGTCTCGTGATCTTGGCGCTCAATGGCTCGCAGCAAGTCATGTCGCTCGTACTGCTTTGCTGGCTTGATCGCTTCACTTGCGGTGGTCGATGAGTCTCGCTCTCTTGTGTCTTCAGAGGACTGCTGGCCTGTAGGAAGAGCGCCGGAGGCTTGAGACTTGTCTTGCTTGTGCGATGAAGCAGCATCGATGGAGAGGTGGCTCAGCAGAGAGATGATGGCTGCACTGCCCCGGTTTGACTCGGAGCGCTGCCCGCCCACCAGGCGAGGATCGAGCGCCCAATTCACTGTCATGGACAATCGCAAGCCAGGAGCAGCGTTCCCTCTGTCGTCAGTACCACGCCATGCTCAGCAGCTATTGCCTCGCCGTATCGTATCGGACCCTGCTGCCTCACTCACGGGCCATCTCCTCCACCGCCTTGCGTACGCAGAGCCTCACCTCCTCATCATCCGGCCAAAGATCCATCAACTGGTCATGACTCAGCTCTGGGAACTCCTCCGACTTCCAAGCTGCCCTTTGCCATCTCGACGTGGGCAGCTCAACGACACGCTCATCCTGATGCTGCTGCTGCTGCTGGCCACTCCTATGTCGTTGCAGAGGTGGAGGTGCGGTAGTGTTGGAAGTCTGGGCGCTCGCAGGACGAAGGGAGGACGAGACGGCAGTGACGACGTCTGAGAAAGAGGAGAAGGACGGAGAGAGGAACGAAGACCGCTTCCAACTTGTCGGTGCAGGAGATGAAGAGCTGCCTGCCATTGTCTGGAGAAGGCGTGGAGATGGTGCACTCAGAGACTGAGCAGCTGCTATCGGGACTTGGGACTGGGTGTTGCCCCTTTGCCGAGGGGATCTGTGCGGGGAGTGGCGCGGAGTGGAGATCAACCCGGCAGACACGGGTGTGTCTCTCGCGGGCTACGACACCTACGGCCGTAAGTTGACCATATCACACCACTCATCAACCGTGTCTTGCCTTGTTGTTTCTTTCTCTTCCGTTCCAATCACAATCGCATCCATAACTCTCATAGATAGACTTTCGCTTCACCCAGAAGATACACAGAGGATCAGAATGTCGGCAACTACTTCAACTGTCTCCAACTTCGTCTCCGCTCTTGCGGCTCGGCGATCCATCTACCCTCTCAGCAAGGGGGCTGTGATCCCGGATGAGAAGCTCATCCCGCTGGTTCAGGAGATTGTCAAGCAGTCGCCTTCGAGCTTCAACTCTCAGTCCTCCAGAGTGGTAAGTATCCGTGTTCAGTACGCTAATGACGGTATTGTCAACATGACTAACCATCTCCGCTTCACGTTGGCCACACGCCACACACAGGTCTTCCTCCTTGGCAAGGACCACGACGAGTACTGGAACAAGATCGTATACGACGCGGTCAAGGGTGTCTCCCCACCGGACCAGTTCGAGGGAGCTGCCAAGCGATTGGCAGGCTTCGCTGGTGCGCGTCTCACCATCCTCTTCTACGAGTCCGAGACGACGGTGCAAGAGTTCCAGAAGAAATTCGCCATCTACGCTGACCGTTTCCCTCAGTGGAGCGAGCACGCCAGCGGCATGGCCCAGATCAATGTCTGGACTGCCTTGGCCAACGAGGGCTTTGGATGCAACTTGCAGCACTACGGCAACCTCACCGAGGAGACCATTGCTAGCAAGTGGAATTTGCCCAAGGACTGGAAGCTCAAGGCGGAGCTCGTCGTTGGAGAGAAGGCCGGTGAGGCGGGTGAGAAGGGGTTCATGGACGACTCTGAGCGCTTCAAGGTCTTTGGCGCCTAAGAGTGAGAGGTGCTGCAGAGTGTCTATGAATGATACCCCACTTGCGGTCTGCCTCAGTGCGTGGTAGATGTCGAACTATACAGCTCAATACAACCTTTTTCGTGATCCACTCTGTCTGCACCGTGCGCTGCCTAGCCTGACCTTGGCGCCGAGATTGCATCGGGATTGCTGCGATTACGATTTAAAAACCTCGCCGTGAATTCCTTCGCCTTATCCCGTATCTACACCTATGACGCCCATTGCAGGTCTCTGCAGCCCTTTGTCGGGCCGGCAGAAGCTGAGCGTACCGTAGGAGCCCTGGAAGCCGTAGCCAAGGGTCCAAGAACTGCTCTTGAAGCGGCCTGCAAGGAGATGGCAACGTACGGCCAGTCGGCACCGGTTGCGCAAACAAGCGATTGGCTTTCTTCGGTCCTACTTGCCTCGGCTAGAGGAGAAGCTCACAAAAGGGCACGGGCAATGCATAAGTGTGACAGTCTCTCCCTTCTCCCTCGTTCCCTGATGGCCCTCTTCTACCCTCCGCCATAGATGGCGCCAAGGCGAGGAATGCTCCGAAGCTCAGATGGAGTGGGGGAACAGCAGCCAAAAAGCTTGGCGTCGGGAACGCGCGGTATGGTCAGACTCACTCACGCATGCCGAGGTGCGGATTGGGCGCAGGCAGAGGCAGAGGGCGGAACCGATGCTGACTGCATATCAGACCGGCGCGGGCGCGGGCATGGTGCGGATGAGATCGTCGTTCAATGCTGCGCTGCGCCGGTAAACCTCTAGGCGAGATTTCGATATGGCCCTCTTCTGTGCCGAGACAAGCGGGAGCTGCCGTCCGTCCGTCCCATCCAGGGTCTGACACAGAGTCTATCGCAGGGGCCTTCGCCAAGGACGGCACGGATGTCATCAATGTTGCATCTCCACTCCCCCTTATCCCGACTCCTTTATCGGCTTCACAGCCAAACCCCTCTGAGGCTGGTCACTGCCCTTGAGGTAAGGCTTGAGGCTGGCCTGGGCGTGCGAACCATTGCGAGTGTTGCTGTGCACCCCCTCTGCTAGGCGGGGCTGGGGGCGGAGCTTGGGCGGTGTGGGTGAGATGAGGAGCGGCAGCCGCTGCTTTCCGCTGCACTCGGTCACTGTGGTCCGAAGCTGCCAAGAGCGGGCGGGCATGGGCGCTGCTGCTGGGCCCCTGGTCGTCGTCCGCCTGCCTGTACCTCGCCCTCGCACCTTGGCCTGCCTGCCGCCGCCCATCCATCCTGGCCAAAGCCCGCCGGCACTGCACAGGAGCACTGCGTGTGTGTGTGTGTGTCTCTCGGTCTGTCACACCGTCAAGCCCCGGGGCGAACCCTGCGTGCCTAGAGTTGCTGCCTCATCGGCGCTGCTCCCTCTGCCCACCCTCCTTGGTTCGATATCCGCACCTCTACCAAACCCTTCCTGATCACCATCATCATCATCACTCCATCTGGCTCTCTCTCTCTCTCTCATTCAAATCCACTTTACCCCCATCCTCCTTCCCCCGCCCTTCCTCCTCTTGCTTCTTTGCTACTGCCTTTGACCGCGTGCTCATTCCGCCTTTGTTTGTCTTTCCAGCCGTGTGTGCCTGAATCACCACGACTTCCGGCGCCGGGTTACCGTATCAGCCAATTCGTTCCTCAAGGCAACCAGGCACAAGGGCAAAGTACGCTTCGTCTTCGTACCTACTACTCCTGGACAAAGCTCCTAGATCATCCTCTACCCCAGGAAAGTGCAATACTCTGCCCTCTGAATCACTAGTCCAGTCTTGCAAGAGACTGCCAACCAGTGTCTATCCCTGTGGGCAAATCGACTGGCACACTGTCTGTCAAGTCATCTTCGAGGGCTCAACGAACAACCTCCCTCAGTCTTCGACACTCCTGATCCTTTGGTCTGATTTGTCGTTGCGTCCGATCTATCCACTGCCCCCCTCTGGGCCACTGATCTACCTAGCTCTACTATCCTCGCTATTTAGCTCGACATGTCGCTTCCTCTGGGCTTCTCGCCCTTTGACGATTACGACAGTCCCTATGCCTCGACCAATGCTGCCATCCGCAGGCAGAGCCGTCCTATGGGACAGGGGACCCCTGGGCAAACCACACCTACGTCGTCCTTCCAGCAGCAGCAAAGTCGCAGGCCCTCGCAAGGCAGTTTCACTCCTGGTCAAGTCGTAGATGCGCCCCCACGAAGATCATCACCTCCGCCTCCTATTCCTGCCGCAGAGGACTTCGGCAGCAGCAAAAGATTCAGCAGCGCTCGCAAACCATCGATGGACGCAGCAGGTGTGCGACACATTGCCAAGCCCATGCCACTTGGTGCGCCCTGGGCCGAAGACGGTAGCACCTCAACGCCCCCTCGAAGCCCTGTGGCCATGCCAACACGATCACCACCTGCCAGTCCACGCTCGAACCCTGGCAGTCCATCGTCATACAGTAATGCTGGTACTTCATCACCGTCATTGCCAACACGACGGTCACCGCCACCGCCGCCAGCCGCCCGTGCCTCTGCAGGCTCCACCAGCGGAGCTGCCAAACCTGCTCAATATCCGCCTACGCAGTCACAGAGAAAGTCTGTCCCCGTCCCTATGCCCGTGTCTTCATCCTTGCCCGAGCCTGCCGAGCCCCCGGCGGCTTCAAAAGTAGCCCTGGCTACGCCAGCCGACGTCGAGAGCAACGAAGCCACTACCCAGGCTCCGGCAATGCGACAAGTCGGCTCCGTCCACTCAGAAGAGGACGACGAGGCCGACCACATGGTTTCGCCTGTCACCTCTGACGATGAGATTGAGCACAATGCTGGCGACTTCCGTACACCGACAGAAGAGGAAGCACCCGCACCCATGGACAGCGAAGGCAGAACGTCGCAGCCATCTTACGGACGAGACGCCGGCGGTGCCGCCGGACTCGGTGCTGCTGCTGCGCTAGCTTCTGGCAGCTCTTTCAACAATGTCTCTCCCCGTCGTGCAAGGGATGCGCCTAATGCTGCACCGCACACTTCTTACGACATGGGCGGTGCGGGCCCATTCAACGAAAAGAACACATCAGAGGACCGAGCACTTCTCACCGGTGCCAGCGGCGCCGGAGCTGGCGCAGCTGCTGCAAACCGTTCGTACAAGCCTCTCAACGAAGGGTCTCGAGGTGGATGGAGTGACTCACACGGTGCTGGTGCCGGTGCTGGCGGAGCTGCCGGTGGCTCAGCCCTCGGTCGTTCTTGGCGAGCTCACAAGAAGAGGTGGATCATTGGTCTCATCCTGCTGATCGTGGTCATCCTCGCTGCCGCCATCGGTGGCGGTGTCGCTGGCTCTGGCGGCTCCTCTAGCGCTTCGAACAGATCCTCTAGCGGCAGCAACAGTGGCTCCGGCAGTGGATCCAGCAGTGGTTCCAACAGCAATGGCTCAGGCAACGGAGGCACCAAGACTTCCGGCGTCGGCCCGCTCGACTCCAGGCTGACAAAGTCTTTCTACGGTATGAACTACGCCCCACAAGACTCAAACTTGACTGCTGGTTGCGGAGCCAACATCACAGGTGTCATTCACGACGTCACTATTCTGACGCAGCTCACTTCGAAAGTGCGCTTGTTGGGCTCCGCGTGCAACGAAACAGCCATGGTGCTCGACGCCATCGACCGCCTCGGAGTGGACATGCAGGTGTGGCCGGCAGTCGCCCTTACCGATGACATGACTCCTACGTCCGTCGCCTTTACGACGCAATTGGACAACATCTCCTACGCCTTTGACACCTTTGGCACTGCCAACATCGGCGGTGTCTCTGTCGGCGACGAGTATCTCACATCAAGCGGCTCCTCTTCCCAGCTCGAAGCTTTCATCACAGCCGTCCGTAGGCTCGTCACAGCCAATACCGATTGGGGAACGGTGCTCGTGGGTAGTGCTGAGACCTCGTCGGTGTGGACGGCTGCTCTAGCCAGGCAAGTCGACTTTGTCTTTGCAAACGACGAGTCTTACGACGAAGGAGACGTAGGCGCCGATGCCGCTGCCTATGCGTACCAATCCTACCAAGATTTCGTAGTCGAAACCATTGCCAGTGCCTCGAACGACCCTCCGTCGTACATCTCCGCCATCGGCTGGCCGTCGGCCGCACAGAGCGGCACAAGTACGACGCTTTCGAGCTTGACCAATGTGCAAGCCATGCTGGACTCCTATGTTTGCGAGGCCAACACCAACGGCACCGGTTACTTCTGGTTTGAGCTTTACGACGCCGCGCCTGCCGATATCACACCGACGGGCACTCCCAATACTGCCGTTCCTGGCTACTGGGGTCTGTTCGATTCGGACAAAAATCTCAAGGACCTGACATTGCCCGACTGCCCTCTATCATAACGGTTGTAGCAAGCGATCGGCGCAGAGACGAGAGTGGCACCGGATAGAGAAGGCACAACCATGGCGCATCCGCCTGGTTCTTGAAAGCAAAAGACCGCAACTTAACATCGGCGCCTCGGCACCGATGATCATGATGACCCCAATGGACAATAGCAGATCTCGCCTTCTCTTTCTTCTCGTGGCCCCGCCTCTGCTCTCCGGTTCTTCGCTTCTTTCGTCTCTTTATTCTTTCTCGACCTCTCTGTCGACGGTCTTCTCTACTCAGAGCTCCTTTTCTATTCATTTCGGTCTCGCCACGCCTGTCTCATCCTTTGGCCAGCACCCTCCTACCATCTCTGATACTACTACTATTACTATTACTCTTCTGCCCACACTCGCTCGTCTTCTGGTTCATCTAGTCCAGTCCAGTCCAGCTCAGTCCAGTCCAATGCAGCCAGATAGCCACCTTCCAGCCTGTGTGTCAAAGTGCCTTGAAGGTTTCCCGTGGTATCCGGCTGAGTGAGTGCTCGCCAACGTAATCTGGCCATGTCTCTGTACGTAGGCAGGAGCATCATCGGAGCGCAACAACAGGTCGAGGAATGGCTCTTTGTCCGAGTCGAATGTCAAGTCGCGTCGGAGCTGGAATGCAGAGAGCAACACCTCCCTCTCGAAGGCGGACTGAGCGACGCGGATTGTTTTGATTCCTGGAAGAGGAAGGCGGAGAAGCAGGAGCAGACAGCCATCACATGCACTCGCCTTAGCATTCTGTACATTCCTTCCACACACACACAGCATCACTACTGGCCTTGGGCTCTTCCTCGTCCATTGCGTGGCCAAGTCCGTATTCCTATACCCTTGTAATCAGGCCTACTCGCCCTCTCAGACAAACCCGCCATGTCTGGCCCATCGTCAGCCATGGCTCCCCCACCCGCCCCACTCCAGACACCTCGAAGACCTACCACTTCCTCCTCTTCTCTCACCCCCTTCAAGACCCCTCTCCGTACTCCAGGCGAACAGACCTCGCACACTCCCGTGGTCAATTTCGATCTAATCGAGTACCAAAAGGAGAATGTTCAACCCTCTTCACGGGGGCGCTCTGCCCATTCCCTCTCCCAAACACTTGGAATGAAACACAAGGAGCGGGCCGAGGACTTAGCAGCTAAGCGGCGGGAGTTTGAGGCAAAAGTAGTGCCGGAGAAATTGGAAGAGAGTGATGACCCCCTGGTGGTGTGGGAGGACTACGTCGAGTGGGTCACAGAGAGCTACCCCTCTGGTGGTACATCTGCAGATTCGGGACTGGTGCCACTACTGGAGAGGGCGACGCGTTCGCTCAAGGATGATGAGCGGTACAGAAATTCGTATAGATACCTCAGGCTGTGGCTCATCTACTCCAGGAACGTCGAGTCGGCGGAGCTTGTGCTCAACTGGTTGCTGGCAAATGATGTTGGAACAAAGTGCGCAGCGCTTTACGAGGAGGCGGCTAGCTTGGCAGAGTCCAAGAGACTGTAAGTACAGACTGGGCTGCCAGTACTGAAGGTTGCGTGCTAGATCTAAACCATCTCTTTGCTCGCCCTCTGCTCCATCATAGTTACGAATCAGCAGACTCCCTTTATCGCCTGGGAGTCTCGCGCTCAGCAACACCTCTCCCCCGCCTCAAGCGCAAGTACGAAGAGTACAAGGCGCGCATCCTTCGCAATCAATCTGCACCGGGGTCTTCTTCCGACATTGACTCTGCCTCTGGCCTCACATATACCCAAGCGCTGGAGCGAGCCATGCGAGAGAGTCGACGAGTAATGCTGGGAAGTAAAGACGAGAAGGCAGGAAGGAGTCTTAGCGCGAACGCCGTCAGAGGCAATGGTCATTCGGCTGGACTCGCGTTGGGACCCAAAATCGGCGGTCTTGCCAACAATGGTCGGAAGCTGGGCGTCTTCAAAGACGCAGACGGATCACGCGGAGAGTATGCCAAGGGTCCCGAGATGGGCGAGCTAGGAAGCAGAGATGCTCGTCGACAGGAGAATGTCAAGGAAGCCAAGCCCTGGAAGGGCGAGCGACTCCTTCAGAAGATTACCACCACCCCTTCCAACGCTGGCAAGGCGCCCATCAAGATCTTTGCTGACTCGGACGAGGAAGATGAGCAGCCTACGCGCACTCCGAAGAAGGACTCAAATGTATTCAACTCCAAGCCCGCTGCGGCTTCGCAGTGTCCCGAGTCAGACCTGCTGAAGCGCAACCCATTCGCTCTCTGGGGTCAAGAAGTTCAGAAGTCGGCAGAGACCTTGCGAGGGGTAGAGCTAGGGGACGTGACGAAGCTGGGGGTGACTCGTGAGCCAGAGAAGCGCACTGCCCTCTCCTCATCAAAATCTTCTACTACATCTAATGGCAGCGGTAGCAGCAGCAGCAAAGACAAGAAGATTCTCAAGTCGTCCAAGACCTCGTCTCGAGCAGCGGAATCTTCTGCCAGCTCTTCGACGAAGCGCCCCGAGCGCTTGGCAGTGCCGGAAGCCCTGCTCTACCCTGGCATGGACATCGGCACGGCAACGTCTTCAACATCTACTTCGAGATCTGCCGAGCGCAGCATGGACGAGGTGAAAGCCATGCAACAAAAGTGGCCTCTGAACATCGATGGAGACGAAGCGGAAGACCCGTGGAGCTATCTCGATACGCCTGCACTTCAGGCTGCCGAAGAGCAAGAGGAGGCACAGCAAGACGACGAGAGTCTCCCTCTCGAAGGCAGTTCAACCCCTGTCCAGGCCTCGCCGGTCAGGCGAGAGGCCTCCCCAAGCCCTCAGCAGGAGTCCTTTGTGTCTGAGAAGCGAAGCAAGAAGAATCCGAACATGACGCTCATTGGTGCAAGAGAGCCCACAGTCACTGCCTTCACACGCGAGGCGAATCGAGCTGCGCTTGAGCTGATCAATGGGCCTGGATCAGACGACGATGAGTCTGACTCGGAGGAGCCCGAGTCGGAAGATGAGGACGACGAAGACGAGTACATTCCAAGGGGTGGTGTACCACCTACTCCGACTCCCCTGCAACGCGGTGGAGCTAGCGGAAACTTGGGCTTCACGGCACCGCCCGTCGCGCCTCCTCGCGTCGTCAGCGATGAGAACGCCATCGTACAAGCGACACCTCTTCGAGCCGCTCCTGCACCTAGCCGAGGCTTTGCCGCCAACGCTCGAGGCGGGCTCGTAGGGGGAGGCAATGCTCTGCCAGCTGCTACTCCTCTCCGCAAGCCACTGGCCGGTTTGGGTGTTGCCGCGAAAAGGAACATCTTCGTTGAAGAGGAGGAGGAAGAAGAGGAGGACAACCGCGACGAACAGCCACTTGCTGCTGGCCCGCGAGCAGGAGCGAAGCGCATTCTACCTGCCATTGCAGCTGATGACGAAGACGATGAGGGCTCTGAGCCTGAACAGGACGAGCGAGGCTACAATTTTGCAGAAGGTCAAGATCTTCTCGAAGGCGGCGCTCGCTACGACCAGCTCACTACCATCTCGGAGAGGACCGAGTATGAAACGAGGTGGGGATTGGCTACACCTGCTAAGAGTCGTGTGGGGAGTGTGCCCGAGGAGTCTGAAGAGGAGCCGGAAGAGCCGGAGCAACGCCTTGCTCCTCCACGAAGCACCGCCACCGATGAACGGTCATTCACCTCTGAGGAAAGCAGTCAGGATCAAGCTTCTCGCAGTCAATATGGTGGTCAAGCTCAGTTCTCTCTCAGCCCGGGCTACACCATTGAGAAGCGTGACGAACGGACAGGTAGCTGGCAAGACTCTGCCGAGCCTGTCCCTGCTCCGACGGCTCTAGTCACGACTGCGCCCAATCCTGCCTGCCCAACAGACCCTGAGGTCATCGAGCTTGTTCTGACTGCGCTGGCTCTGCCCATCGAGTCTTCACCTGACTACAGAGATTGCACTTCTCGCTCGGCCCAGCAGCTTCCTGCACTGAAGAAGCGCGCCAAGGCACAGTCGCGAAAGTCGGTCGGCAACTCTTCCTTTGTTGGCTCAAAAGACTGGGAGCTCGAAGTGGACAATGTCGTCTTTTCGGTCAGGGAGATGCTGGGTGAGGGTGCATACGGATCGGTCTTCCTTGCTGAAGATGTCGAGAACAAGACCCCATCCAGCAGCAGATCGAAGCAAGGCATGACCCTCGGTGGTATTACTGGCGACTCTTCCTTCACCAATGAAGCCGATGAACAGGACGACGAGGATGAGGAGGAAGATGAGGACGAGGCTGAGCGTAGGAGGATGGTGGCCATCAAGGTCGAGTCGCCCCCTAACCGATGGGAATTCTATGTCCTTGGCCAGCTGAGAGCCAGACTAGAGGCCCGTGCGCTGCAGAGCATCATCAGTGCTCGACGCTTCTACGCCTTCCAGGACGAGAGCTACCTCATCCTGGAGTGGGGCGAGAAGGGTACTTTGCTCGAACTTGTCAATCAGGCTTCCGCTGCCGGGGTTGCTCCCACTGCCGCACTCGGTGCGCCCGCTGCCGTGGGTTCCAATGGTGTAGAGGAAGTCTTGGCCATGTTCTTCACCATCGAGCTACTCCGCCTCGTCGAGTCTCTCCACGCTGCCAAATTGCTACATGGCGATCTGAAGATCGACAATGTCCTGCTGCGTCTGGAGGAGCCAGCAGCAGGTACGACCTGGTCCAACACCTACTCTCGAGACGGCTCAAGTGGTTGGAGCTCCAAGGGTGTTCACCTCCTCGACTTCGGTCGAGCTATCGACCTCTCTGTCTTCCCTTCCTCGCAGACTTTCATTGCCGACTGGGAGACGGATGCACGAGATTGTGCCGAGATGCGCGAAGGTCGACCTTGGACTCACCAAGTAGACTACTTTGGCGTAGCGAGCGTGGCGTACTGTCTCCTCTTTGGGAAATACATCGAGACGACCTGGGTCGTAGAGCCTGGCAGTGGAAGTAGGAGACAAAAGGTGGTGGGAAGCTGGAAGAGGTGGTGGCAGGGAGAGCTATGGACGAAGTTGTTCGAGGTGTTGCTCAACCCTAAGCTGGCTGCTGGAGCAGGAGGACAGATGCCTATCCCTGAACAGGTAGGAGCAGTTAGGGCAGAGATGGAGGACTGGCTCGAGGCAAACTGTCTCAAAGGTGGCAAGGTGAGTCTCGTAGTATAGGCGTAAGAGATAGAAAGACGTCAAAGCTGGCACCGCAACTTACCCAATTTCTCTCTTACTATTTGCACTCTCAGAACCTCAAGGGACTGCTCAAGAAACTTGAGATTTGGTCTATGAAGCGAAGACCTTGATCCACCCTCTTCCACGCTTTCATTTGCTTCTTTCGTTTTCTTCCTTTCATCTCTTTCCTCCTTTGCTCTCGACTGCTTTGCAGCGTCGCACAATCTATACCCCAACATGGTCTCTTCTTCGTTTAGCATGTCCTGATCACTCCTACGCTTCCCCTTTTCTGCATCTCCCTCATATAAAGTCTATTGAATCCATTGACAAGTCCTACAAAGAAGAGCGTGGCCGATCTAGTCTAATCTCTCTTTTTGCCCTTCCTTCCCTCCCTCACTCCTCTTCCCTAATCCAATCTCCACTCTTTCCCCCACTCTTCTGAACAACCATCACATCCCCCACCCGCATCTCCTTACCCGCCACACTCTTGAGCATATCCCAAACCGTCGTCGCTGCAGCCTGCACCGCGACCAGGGCCTCCATCTCTACGCCCGTGGCGGAGCGAGTAGTGGTTGTTGCGCGAATGGAAATATAAGGCATGGATGCAGCTGCCGACGAGGTACTGGAGGAGGAGGAGGTGGTGGTGACGCCAACGGGAGGAGGAATGACGAGGTCGAATAGGATCTCGCAACCATCAAGGGGGACAGAGTGACACAATGGCACCCATTCCGCTGTGCGCTTGGCGGCCATCACGCCAGCCAGACGCGCAGTCGTGAAGACGGGACCTTTGCCAGCGGGGGAGTCGACCTCTCCTATACCCTCCCCGTCAGAGACGCTGCCCCCACTGGTGGTACTGGTGGAGAGGAGATCCAGACAGGACCAGGGAAGAAAGACTTTCCCCACTGCAGTGGCGGTGCGCAGTGTGCTGGGCTTGGAGGAGATATTGACCATCGAGGGCTGATGCGTCGAGGCATCGAGGTGTGTCAGACGCGAAGATTGCGCAAGAGGTGGGGTAGCAGGAGGTGTGTTGCGTACTCTAGGCTCCTCGCGTATAGGCTCGCTGGTAGGAGGGGAGGGGTAGACGATCCGCGGTGTAGGCGAGTATTCGAGCGTCTGCGCTGGAGCCCGCTGCCGCTGCGGTCGACTGTCATTACGGCCCACGTCTCGGTCCAGCTTAGCAGACACGGCCGCCAGCCACATCTTCTCCTCTTCGGACAACTTCATCCCCCCTGACAGCTGATTACTGCCAGTAGAGGGCTCTTCTCGCGCAGAGGAAGCAGAGGCTTGGTCAGACCTAGTGGTGCTAGACTTGGCTTGCGCTCGCTCCCAGTCGGTCGTCGAGTCGTCTAGGTCCGCCCAGGGATTGAAGTCTTCTTCCTCGTCCTCTTCTACCTCGTCACTGCGTAAGACGCCTTGATTCGAGGCTGAAGACGTCGAGCTGAATAGACGCAGCCGTTGTGCCTTGAAAAGACCGGGCAGAAAATTGGGGCTACCGAGTCCCAGTGCCCGCGATCTCTTCTGCAGCCTCTCGGAGGCAGATAGAGCCGTAATCGATGTCGCTAGCTGTACACCCCAGCTTCTCTGTATCGGTGATGTCCGTCTTTGGGGGCGAGGATACCGCACCAAATCTCCATGCTGCTGTGCATCTCCCTGCGCCTCCCGCAGTATGTCAGCAGCCTTCGAAATGGGCCAGAATCCCTCCCCTGAGCCCTAACCTCCAATCCGACTCATCTCGCGCCCCACGGAAGTCTCTTCACCGCCTTTCCTGCCCTCTGCTGCTTGCCAGATCTCAAGAGGGTTGCGTAGCCCGGCGTGCTTGAAGTGCTTCTTATCCAGAGCGAGGGAGATGAGCTGCTTGAGAGGCAAGTCGGCATCTTCTCCGTCGGCAGAGGCAGGCGGCGACTGACGAATGGCATCTCTCAAACTCACTTCACCCTTACCACCATCTCCGAACAGGCAGACCTTCATACCGCCGTCTGCCAGTACTCTGACTCGATTGCAGCTGCCACAAAAGTGGTCTGTCATGCTCGAGATGAAGCCGAATCTACCGCGATGGTTGGGTATCGTATAGTGGCGTGTGGTATCATTTGCTGAGTCGACGTGACGTTCGATGTTCGAATGACGGGCGGAGAGGGAGGAGAGAAGGTCCGAAGAAGGGACGAGTAGAGAGGTAGACCAGGAATTGGAGAAGAAGGGCATGTACTGCGAGAGAAACACGGACGATGGGATGGTCAGCGACAGCTCACCACCGTAGCTCATGTCTGAGATACTCACCTCGATGAAGCGCACGTCAAGATCCATGTTTTTTGTGAGGTCTACAAAGTCGGCTACCTCGTCGTCATTGCGTCCCTTCATCACCACCACATTGAGCTTGATCTTCAGAGCCTTGCTAGGGTCCAGACCACCATCGGTCTGCTCCTTCCGAATGCTCAGAGCAGCCCGAATGGCGCTCATGATCTTATCCAGCGTCTTTCCAGGCATGCGGGACAGCTCTGCAAACCGATCGTGGCGCAACGAGTCGATGGAGATATTGACGTGGGTGAGCCCCGAGCTCACTAGCTCTGGAAGCATCCTCTCCAGCACCAACCCATTGGTGGTTAGCCCAATCTCTCGCACGTCCAGGTCATCTCTGAGCTTCCGCACGATCTCTGCTACGTCCTTCCGTAACAGCGGCTCTCCGCCCGTCAAGCGGACCTTCTTGACGCCCATCTCCACAAAGGCTTTCGCTATCCGCATCACTTCCGGTGTGGTCAGAAGATGAGGCTTGGGGGTGAGAGGAACACCGGACGGTGGCATGCAATAGACGCAGCGAAAGGAGCATCGTTCTGTGAGGGAGAGACGAAGGTAGGTGTGCTTGCGCGAGAAGGAGTCGAGGAGTGTTGGAGAAGAGGAGGATGAGGCTAAGGATGCGGTGGTGGTGTCGAGAGATGCCGCTGGTGGGCTAGACCTTTCTGCGGGATACTCTAGGTCCGCCGGTCTCGCGGCATCCATACTACGGATGCGAGACTAATATGAGAGGAACACATGGTATGAGCGTCAGCCTATCTGAACATCCAACGCCAAGTACAGTTCCATATGCTCATCTCACCTGCACCTTGGCCCTCAACACTTCGCCCTGCCTACCATTTACACCCTTCGATGATGAGACAATACTGTCAAATGACGGATCTGCTGCGCTCTCATGGCGCAATCGATCAACGTGAGGTCTTCTCCGCGGTCTTGTTGTACTGCTTTGCCTGCTTCCCTGGCTCGGCCCGGCTAGACAGGGCAGGGGCGAAGAAGATGACGCGCCGGTAAGGAAGGTGGTGGTGGAGGTGCCCCGGAGCAGGCTCGAGACCGAGCTCTGCCTCGGTCTGAGCATCTCGATACGAGCAGCGAGGTGATTCAGTATGGATGAGCCTTGGCTATGGTGGGGAATGTGAGAGTGGTGATTGTCTCGCGGGACCTCGCTGCCTCTCCCGATTGGAAATCGGAGCGGAGATAAGAAGTGAGATTGCAGAAGTCATCAACGCGGTCTGGGGTCAGTAGTCTGCTACCACCAAGCTGGGCCGCCTTGCGCAACGAGGTAGACAGTCGGGTCATGTTTATATCAACACAAATAGCAATGCAAAGGCAGTAATGGTGTTGTCAGCTCTTCGACGCGTACCCAGACGACTGACAACGGCTGGTGCGACTGTAGTCACGCGCCGGTCACTGAGAATGATGAGAGATGGTGACCTGGCTCTGGCTGACCGAGAGCGATGCATCAGAGGCGCTATCTGCAACGAACAGCTATAACAGAACGAATGATCTACCATTACAGCCACGATGGTACCGTTCGAAGCTGTGCATGCCACCATGTGTCCCTAGGGATCTCTGGAGCCCAGGTCTGCCTCGGGGCATTTTCGTCTGTCCGCGTCTAAATTTTTTCGAGTGCGGCGTGGTTCCGTGTGCGGGAGAGGGCGTGGTGTACAATTCTACTGGTTGCTGTCTTTACTTCTGTTTGCTCATCTTGTCACCATTGCCTTCCACAAAGTCATCGCCTTCAGGGTCTTACGCTCCTCCATCCCAGCCTCCTCCTCCTCTTCTTTTCTCCAAACCTTACTCTCTTGCCGCCTTGCTTCGTCGCACCTCGACCACTTCCCTCCCGCTTTTTGCCCAAGCTGCCTTCGATACGCCCCACTGCCTTCCTGTCCACCGCTTCGTCTCTGAAGTCTGCGACCAGGTACAACGGTACTCTTCGCGGCCTCGCTTCCTTCAAAGACTCTCGTCGCCCAACAGATCCTGCTCTCTCTGCTGTACCCAGTCGGCGGTCATTACAAAGCTCTCCCAACTACCACGAAGAGGCCCAGAGGCTCTCTCAACATCTCGCACAGTCAAAAGTCGGCGTAACAGAGCTCAACTCGCTCCTCTCCGCCCTTGCCCGTCCACCTATCAAGTCTTCCCGTTCAGAGGACCCCGTCGTAAGGTTCCAGCGTAAAGCCCGCTTCAACGCTCTCCTAGATACCTTCCACTCGGCCACAGTCTGTTCGGCCGAAGAGACAGAGGCCACTCTAGAGGAACACTTCAACCAATTCGCTCAAGACGCACTTCACCTTCCCTCGTCTCCACACGTAGTCTTGCAGGGCATCGCTTCAAGTATGACGGAGCCATCCCTGAACACCACTGGCAACGCCGGCGCTTCGTCCTCGGCCGAGGCCATCAGTGAGACCAACCCTGGCAAGCTGGTCAGCGCGGCTGCCATTGCCAAGCCCTTTGTCGATTCCATTACATCCCAGATCGAGTCTCGAGTCACCTCTGGTAAGAGACGCCCGCGCCTTGTAGGTATCCTGGCCACTCCCTCACCGCCCTCGATTGCTTATGCAGAGTGGACGAAGAAGGCATGCGAGTCGGTCGGTATGGAATTTGACATCTGGAGGACCTGGGACCAGGCAGAGGGTGCAGAGCCTCCCAGCGAGGACGACAAGAAGCCTGGACTGGAGGACGACGTTGAGGACCTCATCATTGCGGCCAATGCCGATGAGACTGTCGATGGTATCATGGTCTACTTTCCCGTCTTTGGTGGACGACAGGACACCTACTTGTCGCAGATCATCAAGCCATCCAAGGACGTAGAGGGTCTTTCCTTCTCCTTTGCATGGAACCTCTACCACAATGTACGCTGGATTGCTCCTTCTCAGCTCGGAGGAGCTCCAGGAGCTACAGCAGAGGGTAACGTCTTGACGCAACACGAGAAGGAGCAGGTCACTGCCTCTCTACAGGGCAAGAATCACGATCACTCTCTTGGCAACGACGAGGCAGTTCCTCCTGGACTGGTCAAGGGTATCCTTCCCTGCACACCGCTAGCCATTGTCAAGTGTCTAGAAGCAATGGGCGTCTATGATCGATCCTTGCCATACGGAGATCGACTGAGGGGCAAGACCATCACCGTCATTAACCGCTCTGAAGTCGTAGGCCGACCACTAGCAGCTCTCCTCGCCAACGACGGCGCCCGCGTCTTCTCGGTGGACTTGGACTCGATTCAAGAATTCTCTAAGCGGGGTCGATCTGGCAGCAGCGAGCAGGCTGGTGAGCAGGAAGCTCCTCACGTCCCTTCAAAGGCGGTCCGCTCCGCTAGGGAACGCAACGCCTCGTCCCGTGTGCGACCCCACCACATTGTGCGTCCCTCCCCCCTGCAGGATCAGGCAAGCTGCGTAGCCGCCTCATCCATCATCATCTCCGGCGTGCCCTCTGCGAACTTCAAGGTCCCCACCGACTCCATCAACCCCGGATCCGTCGTGGTCAACTTCTCTAGTGAGAAGAACTTTGAAAAGGACGTAAGAAGACGGGCGGCTGTTTACCTTCCTGCGGTGGGAAAGATGACGTGCACGATGCTGCAGAGGAACCTTTTGAGGCTGGTTGAGGCAAAGGATATGATTGAGGATGGGTCGGGGAGGTAGATGGAGGCGTGCGTTGGGGAAGAGACAGGGGGTTAGATGGAGAGCGAGTAGATTTGGCTAGAAAGGTGTTAAGAGGCGGCATTTAAAACGTAACAAACAGGAGATAGTTTGCAATCCACAATTGTAATGGACATCACAACGAGCAACATCTTCACCCCGTCCCGTCAGATCCTTGTCGCTGTCTCCAAATGCGTGGTATCAGTTTGTGCTGAGTGCTGACCTCTCGTGTTGTATAATGTACATTAGCCGTCCGTGTCCACTCGCAGCGATGCCTTGATGGCAGAACTCTCCCTCGCTCCCCCCCTTCACTTCTTACTACTCCCGAACCCACCAAATCCCATCATACTCATCATCGCCTCATCCTCAACCCCTCCACCACCCATCTCTTTCCTCCTCTCCTCTTCCCTCTCCCTCTCCTTCCGTTCCCTCTCTTCCTTCTTCCGTCTCTTGCGCTCCTCCTTCTTCTCCCTCTCAGCATCCGCAATCGCCTTGACCCTCTCTAGGAAGTCATACTCCTTTGCTGAATTGGAAGAGGAAGAGGAGGAGGTTTGAGAGCGGAGCAGTTGGATACGGGCGCGGACTTGCTCGACGGTGGACCGAGCGACGTGTGTTGTTTGACCGAGTCGACGCAAGTCTGGGAGTGGAAGGAAGAGGGAAAACGATGAGTCAGTGTTTGCCCAGGGCTCTACTGTCGTCACCTTGTGGTGAGGAGACCAGGTACTTACGGTCCCTTCCATTGATATGGTCCAAATACCCAATACTATCCTTGCACGTCTTCCTACAGACTTCACAGTAGTACCCTGCACCACGACGAGAATCTCCCGAGTTATCCACGAGGAGAGTCTTGCCGACGTCTTTGTCTAGGTCGAGGGGTTGGGAGCGCGGTTGGAGGTGAGAGGTGGGTTGGGGAAGAGAGTCGAGCTTGCTGGTCCGGGGGAGGGGCTTTTGGCCTGTAGTCGCCGGTCCGTGTAGAAGGCACATGGCAGTGTATCAGCTCTACTGAGCTCTTACGAAAGCGGCAGCTATCGTGCTTTCGGTCTTTCTCTCTGAGCTCCTGACACTCACCTTTGCGTATCCTCTCTTCATTCTGCTGCGCCCGTTCCTTGTCCTCTCGATCCTTCTCCCGCGCCTTGGAAGTATACTCCTCTACATCCCAGGTCCTCCGCGAAGGGCCTACACCGGCACCTCCCGCTGCTGTTGCTTTGGACATCCTACTGCCTCAATCAAGGTATTGATGAAAGGAGGGAAGGAAGGGCGCTACTTGTGCGGGAAGTGGACGAGGTCGAGCAGGCAGGTGGGAGCCAAGGCGGAAGCAGTGGAACGGAAGGGGCCAAAAGTGGCTCGCAGGCGACTCCACCCCGTCTGTCTGTCTGTCTGTCCGTCGGTGGGTGGGTGTGCGTCCGTCCATGCAGCCTTCATCCACCCACTCAGCCCCTCTTGCCATCCTTGCGCTTTGCCCATCGTTGCCTCACAGAGCACACACTGCCCTCGTCATCCTCGAAAGCTACAAGGTCAGCGCCTGTTGAGCTCCTCTAGCTTATAGCCCCGCCTCGCCTGCGTCTGGAACAAGTGGCGCAAGAGAACGCCCTCGATCTCCATCTTCCTCTCTTCACACTGCATCAAAGCGGATATCTCCCGTCTCTTCACACAACATAATGTCGGGATGGACAGTGATCTGGGCTGGAGTGGCCGTGGGTGGAGCTAGCTTTGGTAGTTGGGGACTTGTGAGAAAGGGGGAGAACCAAGTGTGAGTGTACGAGAGGAGTGAGAGGCTGGGCGCTGAGAGGTCGGCGGGAACCGAGAAGGCGTATCTACGTATGGCTTCCTGATCTTCCCTCTGAGGTACTAGACGGCGTACAAAGAATGTAGACTGACATTCCGCACTCCCTCCTTCTCCCACCTCCGCCTTGTGCCCTCGTCACCTCTCAGTCTAATCAGGACATCTGTGATCCTGACGATGATCTGCTGCTATTTGATGTGGTCCATCATCTACCTCGCACAACTACATCCCCTCATCAGTGAGTAGCTACAATTGGCATTAGATTCAGCGTCACGCAAAGCAAAGTGGAAGAGACTGAACGCTGTCTCCTCGTCTTCTATGTCGCCGTCGCAGAGCCAAAGAGGGGTGATCTACGTCCCGAGTAGAGTGGAAAGGGTAAAGGAGAGGAGGCGCAGAAGATGGAGTACAATCAGGGTCAGGCGAATTACTTGGCCACTGGCATCCCGTTCTGTGTTTCATGTCCTGGCTTCAATGTACAAATGATCAGCTATACACAGAGTAAGACGACAGAGCGGCGTCAGATGAGGATGAGCGTGCTCATTGTCAATCATGCGTAGTGGTCGCCTTGATGGCGTCCGTCTGCCTGTAATGTCTGTCGACGCTGGACAGACCCTTGACTGACATCTCGGTGGCCCCCTTGACGACGCCGAGTATCCCTAGCTTCTCTGGCCTGTGATGATGGCTGCTGCTGCTGCTGCTGCTGCTGCTGGTGCTGCTGCTGGTGCTCCCTTCAGTAGCTTCCCAGTCAGCCCCTCTCTCTCACGCACGTCGTCACTGTCCCTCGTCTCCCGGGCGAGAGAAATGTAATTTGATGGTGTGTGTGGCTGGAGTGCGCCTGTGCCCTTGGCTGCGCTGCCCCGCCCTGCCCTCGTCGCCCCCCCGCGTGCGTCTGCCTGTTCCGGAAGCTCCACCCAGACTGTCCTGTCCTGGCTGTCCCTGTCCAAGGCCCGGCGCCCCTGCGAACGTCGTCCCGTCGATCATCGTTCCTCCTCCGCCTCGGCTCGATTTCACACTGCCTGCATATTCTTTCCCTCCCCCTCACCTCCGGACCATTGCTGGACACCTCGCATCTGCTGCCACAGTCGTTCGTACAGACAGACGGTTCTCTTCTTTACTTTACATCCCCTTCGTGCTGTGTCTGCCGCCGCCGCATTCCGCCCACACATGGACCCTTCGTCCTTTCTCGGCGGCTTTGCCTCGAACGCGGACGGCGCCGCCGGTCCCTCTTCATCTTCGTCCTCGTCGCCATGGCAGCCAAGCTACTTCGCCACTGCTGGTACCTCCAATGACGTCCCTGCCGACCTATTGCGGTGGTACCAGGAGCAGCAGATGAACCAAGCGGGCGCTCAGCCGCGGCAGAATGCTCAAGCTTCCCAGCCCCCTCCCTTTCAGTCGCAGTCGTTCGGAGGCGGAGGCAACCAGAATTACAACTTCAATATGCCTTCTGCGAGTACTATCAAGCACGAAGACAAGCAGGACAGTCATACTGGGCCCATTCGCCAGAAGACGTCAGGCGGCGCATCATCCTCTTCTGGCCCTATTAAGTCAGCGCCATCAGCGGACGATGAGGGGCAGAGTCCTGACAGTAGCAAGGCGGGCGCATCGGGGAAAGCGGCGCCGGTACGGGCAGCCTGTTTGTTCTGTCGGGCCCGCAAGTCGAGATGCAATGGCCAACATCCTTGTCACAATTGCATCAACCGGGGAAGGGAAGATGACTGCATATACACCGTCTCTCGGAGAGGAGGCAAACCCAAGCCAAAGCCAAACCAGTCGCAGGAGGAAGCCAACCTGGAGCAGCATCTCAAGAGACTCTTCAGCCTCTCGCAGCTTCCGCAACAGGTTCGAGTGCCTGGCGCTATACCCCAGCTGAGAGATGCCCAATTGAGTCAAGAGCAGGAGACTAATGCTGGAGGCGCAGGGGGAAGCAAGAACTCTGGCAATCCGATGCCACGGTCACTGCAGCAACCACAGCCGCCGGCTCAGCAAAATCAGCAGCTACCCCAAGCATCTCAGATGCCCTTTTTGCCTTCGTCAGGTCATCAAATGATGGCTTCGCAATCGCCGTACTCAGCTCCCTCTATGACTCAGTCTCCACCGAACCCGATGGGAATGTCTGCCAATGCAGGACCCCAATGGGACTCCATGGCAGCCCTCTACAGCGCGATGAATGATTCATATGGCCTGAATCTCATGCCGAACAACATGAACGCTTCCCCAGCCACGTCCAACCCAGCTGCTCTAGGGCAGCCTCCTGATCCGTCACACCAGCGTCAACAGACTCAACAAGAACCCTCGCCCACCTCTGCATGGCCGGTTCAGCAACAGCAGCAGCAGCAGCCCCTGCGGCAGAGCATCCCTTCCCAGCAACAAACGCCCCTGTCTTCAGCGCCCGCCACTGGATCGGACCCACCCCCCGGCTTTCCGCCGCGAGCTTCCGTGTACACAATCCTGCTCGGGTATTACAACACCCTGTATCGATTCATTCCGGTTTTTGCGCCACCTCAGCACATTCACGAGATGTCGCAGAGGCTTTCACTCGATTCGCCCTTCATCTTGGCATTACAAGCCATTTTGCCTCTGCTGCAGGATGGAGAATCGACGAGTGCTTATCGCTCACAAGGTGCCAGTTCCGGTGGTCAAGCTTTCGCAGCTGGCTTCGGCATCGGTCCAGGTAACAGTGGCTTGAACTTTCCCACGTCCGAGCGGAAAGCCGAACTGTTGGCCATCACTAGTCACTACGAGAAGCGGGCTACCGAGACGATCGAGCACGTTCTTGAGCAGGCCGAGAGTCAACTTCAAGGCTCGAGCCAGCCATTGACCAACAAGGGCACGACTATTGGAGTCATACAGGCCTTGGCCGTTCTCTGCGTGTATCACTACGGGAGCGGTAGAGCTCTCAAGGCGCGCCTGAAGGCAGATCAGGCGCTAGGGTTGGCAATGGCTAAAGGTCTCCATCGTCTGAGGCGTCCAAGGGGAGACTCTCCAAATGCGATGGGCAGCAAGAGCAGCTTCGTCTCCTCTGATGACGTCTTTGGGACTCAATCATTGTACTCTCAACTGCCAGAACAAGTCAGGTACGAGATGGAGAAGAGGATCTGGTGGACATGCTGGTCAAGCTCTCTATGGTGCAGCTACAACACCGCCATCGCACCTACGATCAGAGCAGATGACCCGCGTGTGAGGACAGAGATGCCTACTGCGCAAGATCCGACCGTCTGGCCGGCCAATATTCGATCACTACAATCGCTGCTTCTGATTCAGGAGAGAGTACTTGCACTTGCGCATTTCAAGGATGGTGGGGAGGGAGATGGAGAAGACGGTGCAGCGAGCAGGAAGGATGATGTGTCGCTCTTCTCGCCGCAACGCAGCAGTTATGCTCAATCCTCCAACGGCAGAGGTGAAACACCAGCAGGGGAACAAGCTGCGACCTTCTCCTCGCTGCCGAACAACGCCAGCCGGCAAGACGTTCTCGACTCGATGTTGGAGATTGACCGTTCTTTGCAGGAACAAATTACCCAGATCGAGGCGGATGAAGCTTCCTTCAAGCAACTCTGTCAAGAGCCCGCGTCCGCGTCGATGCAGGGCGAGGAATCCCTCAGTCGTGTGGATGACGACCTGGCGATGTACCTGAAGCGGTCAGCGGCTATTCAGCTGTATACCAGCTCCCTCACTCTTCATCTGGGGCAAGCCTTCCAAGGAGCTTCACTCTTCGAGAGGAAGCTGTGCTTCTTGAACACTGTCACAGAGAGTGATCCAAGTGCGGCTTGTCAGGTGCCCATGCCCGATAGCTTCTCGAGCGCATTTGGCTTCGCTGATGGTACGGAGGGCGACAACGACAGCGGCGAGAAGGGCCAAGGAGGCGGAAACATACAGGCCTCTCCTGCAGGAGCGAACGCTGCCGCTCTCGGCCAAGAGGATGGCAGAGCCTCTACGAGCGCGCAAGACTTGTTTGCCCGTGGACCCTTTTTGCCAAAGGACTCGCTGGGCCGCTGTGTGCATGCTTCGAAGAGGCTGCTAGAGATTGCCCGCTCAAAGAGGAAGGAGCCCAACCCCTTCAATGCCTGCTCCTACGTGCTCATCTCCTTCACCCTCCTCATGCAGGCTCTGGCGGTCAGCAGTAGCGCCTCGTCTGGCAGCGACAGTAGAGGCAACTCGGCTGATGCTGATGGTGAGGGAGAAGAAGACGCGGAGACGGATGGAGACGATTACGAGGGAGACTACGACATGAGCGACTTCCTAGCCGGCGTCAGTAGCAGCGGTGGCGGTGGAGAAGGGGACAACTCCCTCTGGACCAACCAAGGCGACGCAACCGCTCCGAACCATGCAGACTTTTCTGCTTTCAGCAGAGGGCTCCTGCAATCTGCTCAAGGAGCAGCAGCTCTCGGTGGCAGTGGATCCTCCTCGCAGCAGCAGACACCCTTCGAAGTCACCCCACAGGCTGGACAACAGCCACCATGGGACTTTTCCGCTCCCACCACTGGCACTACTACTGGCACCGGTGGCCTCTCCAACAACGATGACCTTATGACTGGCGTTGATGGCAGTGGTAGCGGTGGTGGACAGGACTCGGCTGAAGCACAAGGAGCAGCACAGCGTCGTCGTGAAAAGTTGCGAGAGATTTGGAGTCGGGTGAGGGAAGCGCATGCTACATTGAAGGAGCTAAGCAAGTATTGGAAAATGGTAGAGCCAATGGCAGATGAAGTCTCGCTCTGTCTGGAGACTTCGCAGCTACTACTGCAGCAGTGAGTCACTCCTGCAGGTGAATGGCAAGGTGGACTAGAAGATTGCCTGCTGGGCCACCCTCCCCGCCTTCAGAGGGCCTGCATGGTAGCAATGCACTGCTTGGCCATCGTCTTCCCTCGCCTCGCCTCGCCTCGACTCGCCTTGCAATAGCGACCCTCTTTCCTCTCTCCCTCTTCCTCTTCTGCTATCATTCATATACACAATTTTCTTGTATACTTATATATTGGCGGAATCAGGCATGAGTGTGAGCAAGAGTAAAAAGGTAATGCAATATGCATTTATAGAGACTAGATCAGGACAGGATCAGAACA